CCGTATGCAATTTGAATATTTTAGGAATGTAGCTTTCGGATTGAAGGTTGCTTGGCAAATTTCTGATTTTGGAGCGCAAAATACCTTTAGATACAAATATCTGTGGCAATACAATGTAGTTCAGTTGAATCGATTGTCGATTACAAATCCAATTACACCTAAACGTTATTAATTAATTAAAACATTTCCTAAAATAAACAAATTGTATTCACAAATGAGTAAAAAAAATTGACAATAATATTTTTATAAACCGTACGCGTTTCACTGTCAGAACTGTCATCAGCGAACAACTGAAAAAGACATTCTGGCACTATTTATACTAATTGCAAGTGAAAGTTCATGAAGGTCCGAAATAATTAAAATTCTCCACTGGAACGGTTACAAAAGGTACAGTATCCGTCAAAATAGAGAGTACCGAAATTAGATCGCTGTGAGAACTACGACAAAGAATAATAACCTATTGTCTACAACGACATTGACAGCATTTTAGGACAATAGCAATAAATATTAAAATTTAAACAAATTCAATATATAAATAAATAAATAAATAAATTAGAACCGTATGTCCACAATATAGATTTTACCTTAAGCAGCACCTCTATTCACAGAATTTCGCAAAAACACCAAAAAAAAGGTAAACTCCTATACCGAACTGTAGCAATTGGTTGTTACCACTGTTCTAAATTGAGTCACTGTATCTACAACTACAGCAGTCACTCTTTATAAATAGTACGTTTGATAATTTGCAACTTGCGATTCATATTAATGGTCAGCCATTTTGTTTATTTTTAAATGGCCAAATTGAAGTTTTAACGGCTGGAAAAGTTCATTTGCAATGAATGTACTAATTACACCTTACAAAGAAAGGATTCTTTAAAACGTCACATTTTATTACGTTACTTTCAAGAATTTTAAATGAGATCGCTCGACTCCGCTACGCAATTAAGTTCCTCTTTTTTTTAATAAACTAGCCTCTTAATATGAGCTTACTTATAATGTAAACTGGTCACGAATTCGAGAATAAATTCATCGAAAATGGTGGCATAATTGTTCGGTTGCACGGCTAACGATTGTTTTATTAGGCTCGCCAGGAGAGAATGCCGGTCAGAGAACAGCTGACGCCGGTTTACAATCGTATGTTTTTTGCCTCGAAAGTTTAGCGATCGAAAAATGCAGCGATCGACCTGCATAGATTTGCCCCGGCTAAGAGTTCCTTTCTCCCACCCGATTTTTACTCGCCGAGCTCGAATGATGAAACGACCCCAACGAAAACCAAGCGTTCACTCTCTTTTTTATACACGTGAGGGTATATCAGAAACACCGTCCGTTATTCTCTGTCACGACAGTTTTTAGAACCGGCAACACTGTAGCAACACTGATCTTTTTATTATAGCGCATATTAATTCCGTTCTCTTTCCTTATGAAGCGGTACACGTATAAAGTTTCCTATGCCGGCAATTTTGTACAATCGAAACCAAACATCTAAACCTTGTACCATTTTAGAAAAATTCTCTTCAAAATTAAGTGTACTAGTTATGGTTTTTGAGGAGGAGTTGTCAAATCGCTGGCGTGCGATAAACACGAAAATACTACTTTTGGCTGATGAAAACCACATTCTAATAGTAAATATGCACTTTCAGGGTAATTGGTCAAGGAGTAAGGTTTTTCAAGAAAAACACTACAAATGGACAGCGTGCGATAATGGCGCTCCTGCGATATGACGAATTGTAACCGATCACCATAAGGGGTCGAGACCTTTCAATAGAGTACCATGAAGGCTAAAACCAGCTCCTTCGCCCCCCCCCCCCATTTTGATAAGGGCGATAAGGGGGTTCACAGAAAACAGTTCCTTTCATTGTAATTTCAATTAGAAATACCATGAAAGATAAAACCAATTTCTAACCCCTTCCACCCCTGGCCCATTGGTGTAGAAATCAATTGATCCTCTCGATGAGACCTTTCATTTGAATACCATGAAGGCTAAAATGTGCCCCCCCTCATTTTAAGAAGTTTTATTAGCCACAACTAGGGGCATGCGTATGCAAAGTTTGAGACAAATTGGTTGTCGCGTGTAGAAGGTGTGCACGTTTTATTTTCAGATCACAGCATCTAGGAAAATAATTCGTGGGGGGAGGGGGGCGACCCCTTTAAGACACAAAAATTTGAAGGCGGTCTGGGACCTGGCCTGGCACCTTCACGGTTTCGGATTTCTATTGCAAAAAAATGTGGGCGCATTTTTTTAAATCTTTCATCAACAAAATATAATAGAAAATATTATTCTCTCTTTCAAAAAGATTCTCTTCAATAGTATATGTCCATGAACTTAGCAGAGCAAGGTCAGCAGAACATAAGCCAACATATTGCATAATTAGGTGCTAATTAAGTACCCTATTTCCGAATTAAATGCTCCTTTTTTTAAAATTATTATATGTTTTGCCAGGTTCACATGAACTCAGCAGAACACTACCTTAAAAACCCAATAAAATGAAAAGTGAACTAACTATAATTAGGTGCTAATTAAGTGCCCTATTCCCGAATTAAATGCTCCTTTTTTTAAAAATTATTACATGTTTTGCCAGGTTCACACGAACTCGGCAGAACACTACCTTAAAAACCCAATAAAATGAAAAGTGAACTAACTATAATTAGGTGCTAATTAAGTGCCCTATTTCTGAATTAAATGCTCCTTTTTTTAAAAAATTATTAAGTACATGTTTTGCCAAGTTCATATGAACTCAGCAGAACACTACCTCAAAAAACCAAGAAAATGAAAAGTGAACTAACTATAATTAGGTGCTAATTAGGTGCTAATTAAGTGCCTTATCCAAGAATTAAATGCTCCTTTTCTTTAAAAAATTATTAAATGTTCTGCCAGGTTCATATGAACTCAGCAGAACACTACCTTAAAAACCCAAGAAAATGAAAAGTGAACTAACTGTAATTAGGTGCTAATTAAGTGCCCTATACCCGAATTAAATGCTCCTTTTTTTAAAAAATTATTAAATCTTCTGCCAGGTTCATATGAACTCAGCAGAACACTACCTTAAAAACTCAAGAAAATGAAAAGTGAACTAACTGTAATTAGGTGCTAATTAAGTGCCCTATCCCCGAATTAAATGCTCCTTTTTTTAAAAAATTATTAAATGTTCTGCCAGGTTCATATGAACTCAGCAGAACACTACCTTAAAAACCCAAGAAAATGAAAAGTGAACTAACTGTAATTAGGTGCTAATTAAGGTGCTAATTAAGTGCCCTATCCCCGAATTAAATGCTCCTTTTTTTAAAAAATTATTAAATGTTCTGCCAGGTTCATATGAACTCAGCAGAACACTACCTTAAAAACCCAAGAAAATGAAAAGTGAACTAACTATAATTAGGTGCTAATTAAGTGCCCTATCCTCCGAATTAAATGCTCCTTTTTTAAAAAAATTATTAAATGTTCTGCCAGGTTCATATGAACTCAGCAGAACACTACCTTAAAAACCCAAGAAAATGAAAAGTGAACTAACTATAATTAGGTGCTGATTAGGTGCTAATTAAGTGGCCTGTTTTCAAATTCTGGAATAGGGCACTTAATTAGCACCTAATTATGCAATATGTTTGATTGTGTTCTGCTGACCTTGCTCTGCTAAGTTCATGGACATCAATAGTATGCCGTCAAATCTGGATGTTATCCACCTAATGTTAAGGACTTTGACAATTCTAAATAGTGACATTGTTATCCGTTATGGCATAGTGGGCTATAACGATGCCCGTGGCCGTTAAAATGACAATTATGCTTCAAATGTCATGTACATACAGTGATATTTAATAAGAAGTAGACATAGGGATTTACGTGTATTGTTGTTTCCTAGGTATGTCTACTTTTAAATGACAAAATCTCTTCTGAACTACTTTAAAAATTAATTTTATCTCTCATTGTATTCTAATTAAAGGTCTTAATGAAATGAACCGTTTTCTACCAACTACTGCCCTTCTTTCTGTCCTAGTACGGGGTAGAGGGTGGGGGAGTGGAACTAGTTTTATCCTTCACGGTACTCTAATGAAAGGTCTCAACGAAAGGAATTAATTTCTACCAACCATAGCCCTCCTCCTCGACCTCTTATCGTGATCGGATATATTCCCTTGTACCTCAAGAACGGATTGTCGTAAGAGGGTACCTACTCACAAAGGGCGATTGAGACGTCTGCAAGACATATATCCATTGGTGATGTCAAAACAAAACCTATTTCGGTTAAAAAAATGCGCTTTATCTGCCTTGCAAGAAGTGGTTAATTTCGCCCCTAGGAAAAAAACAAAATTTCGTCACGCAGAAGTTGTGTGCGTTTAAAAGATCTTCTCGACAGCAGTTTGAAAACAAAACTGTCGAAGAAGATAGGAAAAAATATATAACACGCTCGGGGATGCCGCCCGGATGTCACCGACCCCACATCATGTAACATCGGCGCTAAAGTTGTTAATTACACGGCGCCGGTAGGTACAGTCTTTGACAAAGTAATGATCACCGAATAAATAAATCCTGAAGCATATTCAACCAACCTTTGAATATATTGTGCAACTTGAAAATGCAAACCAACAAATTAAAGCATCTCCTCCTTGAAGAAACCACGGAACCCGATGTGATAGGCATGTTGGTTGCATAATTTACCTATTCATTACTGTTGTCAATGACCGTACATACTGCAAGCCAGCCAGCCAGCCAGCCGGCCGCCCCAAAGTGAGATAAAGAGCTACCTTTTTACAAATAACTTTGCAAAGATGCGCTAAAAAGGTAGCAAATTCAGAACATGATTTGCCAGCACATGTGGCGCAGTTCAGTTGAAGCTGGACTGCGGTACTACGGGTCCCAGGTTCGAATCCGGGTTCAGGCATGGATGTTTGTAAACAATTTCTTGCTAACGGCCTTTTTTATTAAACCGTGCTCGTATAATTTAAGTGTACACATTTCGGGAACGCTGTAAAAGACCCAGAATCTTTAACCATTTTAATTAAAACTATATATCACAGGCGAACAGAATTCCACTTAAACCTTAATTTCTTTGACTATAAACCGATTAAACGCATTGAACGTTGTTGACAGTTTCAAGATTGTAATTTAATTAGGTAGCCGTTGGGGTATAGGGACACGATGAGCTGAAATTGAGGCTAAATTAAGATCAATTGCGGCCGTACGTTTACCATTGCGTAATTTATTGGTTTCATTACAACCCCGTTATTGACGTCTTGCAACCGCACCAACTTTAATACGAATCAAAGAACTAATACGTGAAATTATTGATTGTCTACCCCCATTAATTTGTTTAGGTGGCGCGTTTGTGTGTACTTTCGGTAACCACGGCAACGACGGACGGTAAATTGTTAATTGTCAGATAATACGACAATATAATGTCAAATGGAACCTTTCTGTTGATGATTTGTGGACAAATCGAGTACGTAGAGACTTTTACATCGGCGGGTACAACCTGGCATTGCAAGTATGAATTCGTATCGGGAACTGATTGGAAAATCGTCGGCGGTCTCCAGTCTGGTGTTTCGCAAATTGTCAACGTCTCGTCTAACGACAACAAGGTGATACTAAATTTACCAATTGAGGTTGTTTACAAGTCAACCAACCCCCACGGATGTGAGTATTTCAAACTCAATGCGTGTAATTTGCTAAATTTAATTCGGGAAAGGGCCGCAGATTGTGCTGAGCGTTTACAAGGGGACAAATTTGCAAGGATATGGAAGAGCTTACGCGCCGCTTCAGGCGGGTGTTCACAAGCTGAAAGTATCAACGTCCGCCCCATTGCCATCCTCGCTCTTGGGAAAAGTCGCTACGCTTTTCGGCTATCAACCCGAATTATTACAGCCTGCAATGCTGGCGACAACTGCAGGTAATAATCGTAAGTGGTCACCCTTAGGTAGGTAGTATTCAATTAAAAGCGCTATTAATGAATTTCTTTTAGTGATCCAAATGGTCTCAAGCGGCGAAGCTTCGATGGCACTAAACGTAACGTTTCACGGATTACAGGGATTAGAATATGACATGGGAAAATCCTTCCAGAATTAAGGACGCGCTTCTATTCCGTTCGCAATTTTAACGAGTATATCCCCAAAACAACATTTCTAATAATTACATATTATACGAAGCGCAAAATGTAAAAACCCTTTTTTGTTGCGATAATGTCCAAATGTGTGGCGCAGTTATAATCAACAACCCCTTTGGAGACAACAGCCCTCTAAGAAGCGCCATTACGATGTTACTGGGGAAACCTATATTGACTCATGCTGGGAACGGCAAGGAATGTCGAAAATTTAATCTCTGTTTAGAGAACGTTTGCAATGTCACGTTTCATGCTGAAATAAACTCGAAAATATAACTAATTAATTCTCAGAGTTTGCCTTTTTCCCCAAGTTCAATTTCTACTATACCTACCACTATAGTAAATAACAATAAATGAATGAATTCAGCTTGGATTGATTTCACCATCCCTTTTGTTTGTAAATTGTCGCGGTCGGTGGTATTCCATACAGAAACATTCAAAAGTGTACTCCCCAAATTGGTAATGTAGGTAATCGACAATTTTTACCCACAAAATAACCGTATAAGCAAAGAGTATTACTCTTTGGTATAAGTAATGGATGTATGGAATGAGAATTCGCTCCACCGGCTTTGTCAGGATTTGTAAGAATTGTGAGTAAAGGTGTGACCCCTTGCAGGGACAACTGCCAAATACAAAATCGTTTTCATACAAATTTACGAAATTGTACAACGAAATGGGGTTAAATTTTGACCTGAATGTATGTATTTAACGATCATTCTAAAATAAAAATTTTTGAACCTCGAAAATATATCACCCCTTGTTGCGTATCTAACTAGTTAACTAATAGTCCGAGAAATACAGACTGAAAATGGACCATTTTCTGCAAAACGAGAAGTAGTTCCAATTTTTTTTGCACGTCATGGAGGAGGGGTGGTTAAGAATCCAAGTTTTCGACCTCCCACTCCCACCCCGTGTGCCACTCCTAAAACCAAAGAAATTTGGGTGGTTTTTTGGTCAGTTTCAATTCAATTCAATTCAGTTTGGTTGAGAGGTAAATAAACAGAGTTTGCCATGGAAAACAACATATAGTGAGATAGGTAATAGTGTAACTGTGGCACATTTAACATATTTAAAGGCTATTTTCGAAAATTCACTATGAAAGTTGAATTAATAATTACAGTCAATACACTATTAAAATTAGATCGTATCATGCCATGGAAAACAATAAATAAACAAAATACTGCTGTTTATATTTGAAGGTCTCAAAGAAAACTTGGATTTAATGTTTGGTGCTGGATTATCGGAATTTATTTTTTTACATGTAATTACTTCAAAGTAGACATTTCAATGTAATATTTCATAATTTATTTTCGTTGTTGTTCTATTTGTGGGCCTAAAGTTTTAAGTTAAATATTATAATAGACTGAGTAATTAGAAGAACATAACTGTTTCCCATGGCAAACTCTGTTTTTACTACTCTTAATAATACAAACAGTTCTGTATCATGTTTATTTGTCAAAGTAAGTACAATGAATCATCGTAATCAGAAAAAAATGCACTTTTCAAAAATGTCACAGCCAACTATAGTTGCCCTTTAAAAAAATGTAAGTTTGAGTTATAACTCGAAAATTATAAAAGAAGAATGTTAAGCGGAAAAAATCTACACTTTTTGTTCTTTGCACGTTTCTGCATCTGTAATACGATTTAAAAGAAAAATCACTAAATCTGTTTTTCGCTCATAATATCACAGATTTAAATATACTATTAAATCTGTGATAATATCTAGTAAACTGTGGATTTTTTTCAAAAAACAAAAGCATATCTTTAATAAGCTCTTAAAACTACAACTCTTTCCTCATTTAACCGAATCTCTATCTCTTACGGTTATCGAGATCATAATGCCTAAAATGAAAACAAACTCACCCTGTATAGTGATATTCATGTAGAAGTAGACATAGGAATTTCCTAGAGGAATTTTTGTATATTGAACATGTTCTCCTAAAATTAATAGTTTTGACACAATTTGCAAAACTACACTTTTCAGCCCTTTCAACCTCCGGGATTTCACCCGAGGACAAATTCAGCTGTTTTAATTATTTTTCCCCAATTTCTAATCATTTCACCTGCATGAAAAACCCGGTTTGGCCCGGTAACTAATATTTTTTTTGAAAATAAATTATTTTAGAGCTATTTAGCATGGACTAAAGGGCGATATGTTACCGGCAACGTATTTGCATTTCAGTTACAGTGGTTTTACCCAGTTCAGTTGTATTTTCAGCAAATCAATTTCCAAATTCGTTTAGGTATTATATTTATTGCTATAGAATACATTCGTTTTCATGCACTAATAGCAAAATTGCTCACCTCGTCTTTGGAGATTTCGTTTTCGCATGGCGTCCCACGTGCAATAAGTTGATGTTGCCGAAACGTCTGGATAGCGATCTCACCCCCTATGGTGATCACACAACGTGGAATGTTATACTCGCCCCCAGGTGTTTGTCTGGTTGTAGCTTCTACATATACCTCGCCTTCGTGGTTTTCTTGACGAAGCCGATCGTATTTGGAGGGATTACCGCGACGTTTTTCGACCATAAGGGCAGCTTTCGTGGTGGCAGACTGACTACGTCAGGGAAGGCCGCCAAGAAGTTACACCGGACCGATTCAAGGAAGTATGCCCGACTATAACGGGTACTTGTTGCAACTTGCGTGCCATCAACCACCACATAGTAGGCGACGACTTCTGCTAACACAAGATCAACAATTAAAGTGACTGTAGAGATTGTGTTACTCCTCCTGCGCATCCTTTGATGGCCTTTGTAATTGGTTGTGACTTCAGTTGCAATCCCATTGCGTCCTTACGTCTGATGGTGACGATACTGCAACTCCTATCAACGTAAGCTCTGATGGGCTTATCATTTATCTCGCCATCTACAAAATAACATTCTTGTGGACTCATTGGGCAAATTATTTTAGCGTATGTTGTCGGTTTGGATTCGTGTCCTAGCAACTTGCAGTTACTGCATTCCAATCTCGGCTTTGGACACTTGCTCCAAATTAATGTGGCCCGTTTCATTGCAATTATAACATCGGGTGGTACGAGCACGTTTGGCCGTATCTGGTCCATAAGTACTTGATGGATTTGAGCATTCCTTTGTTCCCAATCGTTTACGGTCAAATCCCGCCTTTCCTCTATCAGCTGATTTCCGAAGCTTCCGTGGTTAACGTGGACAAACAATCGGTGTATAGATCTTCAGGCGTCTCGTTTCTTCTCACTCGCAGAGTTGTCGCAAAATCACGAAGGTTAGGAAAAGCCTTTACAATCAAAGCTTTCCATTCTTCCCATTTACCTGGTTAGGTCAATCTTATTAACCCATTTTGCTGCCGATTAATTTGGTTTACCCGACATAAAATCCAGTTCGCCCATAACTGCCATCCGCACAAAGGGTTGGGTGTTGGCACCTGCATTAATAGGTTGTCCGCGACTAGCCATATGGTTTGGCTTCCAAATTTGTAATTCGCGCATCTTTAACAATTGCAGTTGTTACGAGTATTGCGTGAATCACGACACCGATGACGAGGTGACTTTGATCTAACGCGACGAAATTCGGAAACCTATCCTTGTCTACGCCTACTTCGATCTTCCGATAGTCGGTTATTCATCGTATTGAAATAATATGCGTTTATAACGTTTCGTAACGAACGAATGTTAGCGCAAAATTGGTAAAGTGTACTTACAAATCGGCGAAGTACTCGTAACAATCGTATAATAGGGCACAATCCCTTGGTTTGCAACCAGAGCACTATACGTATAATACTGGATTCGGATTCTAGGCACAGAGCCGATCCCGAATTCCCAATAACCGTTTATTCTGGACAATAATTGATATAATACGTATAATACCCTGAAAGTAAGAATAACAAAACAGAGATGCGAGCAGTGCCACCGCAAGGTGGATACTGCCGATCACCGCGCCCGTTCGAGGTTCCCTCGCGCTCTCAAAATCGCGCAGCGCTTACACAACAAAACAGTCTTACATTTCCCAAGTTCTCTTCATCAATCGCGGTTGCGATCATCGATGGGCAATTTTTTAGTCGCCTTTTACGACACGCAGTACCCTCTGCGGTAGGGGTATTCTTTCCCGCCCCTACACGGGGGGCATAAAGTAGATACAATATTATACCTACGTTATAGCAACAGTATAACAGTACGACCGAGTTTCAGTATGCCCCTGATCGTATCATTCTTATATCGCTTTTTGTAGAATTTGTAAAAATAATTGAGGGAAGGAAATTTTTTTGAACAGCCTCTGAAATGATTTCTTTTAAATTCATTATCTTCTTAGTTTCATAAATGGCAATATATCTTCCCTTCCCTTAAAGTTTTAAGAGGAAATGCACCCAACATTTATCACATTGACCACATACATACATGTACTTTTACCTTATTATCTACGGTGTCCATTAATGTACTCGGGAAACGCTTTAACTTCAAAACGCACCGTTGATACTTCATGTGTTTGAAATTTACTCACGCTATGATTTTTCGCTTTATAGTCTTCGAAAAGCAAAGATACAAAGAAATAAATTTGAATGCGAGAGGAGGAAGCCACCCTTGCTCTGAGGGTAGCACAACCAACAATTATTTTAGTCTATTTAAGTCTTTGTAGAGAAAAAAATTATGCATACTATAGCTTTTAATTCTTTGATCTATGAAACCATGAAATTGGATAACTAAAAACGGGCGCTTTTAACCCAATAAGTGGTGCCATGGCAAAGCTAACTGATCGTAAATGCAGGCGCTCTTATTTGATTTCATAATTCCATGGCATTACCGATGTTTTATAACCGCGACAGTTTTTGATTTTTAGATTTTTACTGTTTCTGAATTTATAAAATAGGAAACAATTTTTTTCTCTACAAAAAACCTAAATATATAAACTTTATCTCTAAAATAAATAGGGGAGGCAATAATCGGAAATTAAAAAAAATGACTATTGAAATTCCCAAGGTGCGTTCGTCAAGTCACCACCCCGTATAGTGTGCCATGGCCGAAACAAGTTAAATATGGATTAATTCAGATTTTAAAGTGAGCTGTGACCGAAACAATAGTATATTTTCGTTATTTATTTTATTTATAACTGCCGGTTACTGGATCTTATTGATTTATTATTGTTGTGCGAATACTGAATAAGCTCAATTTAATAGAAAAGTGCATAATTTTACTCGCATAATGAAAATGTTGGTTTGTACGAAGTGCGCATTTTGGCAAAAAAGAATACCTTTGCTGCTGCTGTGGTGAGAAATATTCTGAAAGAGGAGTACCATCAAATTACATACCTACTTTTGATGATTAGAAGTCAAATTAGTGCTGATACAACTGAATTTATTGGAAATTGAGAATATTTAGGCCTAAGTATTTTTAAACAAATATTAGGGCAGCGATTAGAAAGGCTGCTACCGAGTACCATCAGTGTAGTGTCGGAAGAGTAGGTACCTAGATAAAATTAAAAAAAAAAGGAAAAATCCAGAGCCTTTAAACTTAAAAAAGTCAACTACCTATTTATATCTACGTCCTAAAGACCATCAAAGACGTTTTGAATTTTGTTATTTGTTGTTAAACGAAGAAAGAAACTTTTTTTAATGTATTATATGGACTGATGGATCAAATTATAACAATAATAATGTTTATTACTGTTAACATGCTTAGAATTGTGCATTTACAGAAGTCAATTAAGGAAAACATATTATTTAAATAGCACTTAAATCACAAATTTCGAACTCATAGACACTATAAAAGGCTTTCTGTAAAAGGAAAGCCTTTAATTTATATTTCAATGTTGCAAAGAGATGATGAACAGGTGCACCTGCTCACCACGCGCAAAGAGTACCTAGGTAACGCGATATTTAAATCTTATGTTCCCAAATTAGTGGACTGGTACTAACACGGTTTACATTTCATAATACTGTGTATGTGTATATAAAAAGTGGTTTAAATAATATTGATGGTAAACAGAGCTGGGCAGTTTTTTCCCGATCGATCTGAGACAATTTTTTTTGGGGCAAAAAAAAAGGCAGTGTTTAACCTTCCTTTTTTTACCAAAAATCGACTACACTAAAATTTCTCGGGAAAACACTTTTTCATATTAATTTTGGTACGTAGAATTCAAAACAATTCGTACTTTTTCGATTAGACTTCTCAATCAAAAGTTATAGACTAGAAACCAATTTCGAAAGAAAATTCAAAGGGCTGTAACTTTTGAACTAGTAGCCCAATCTTGGAACTGTTTGAAATTATGGATTCTACAGGCCACATTCTATAAGAAAATTTTTTTCCGGGTCGATCTGAGACAATTTTTTTTCGGGCCTCAAAAAAAGGCAGTGTATAACCTTCCTTTTTTACCAAAAATCGACTGCACCAAAATTTCTCGGGAAAACACTTTTTCTTATTAATTTTGGTGCGTAGAATCCAAAACAATTCGTACTTTTTCGATCAGACTTCTCAATCAAAAGTTATAGACTAGAAACCAATTTCGAAAGAAAATTCAAAGGGCTGTAACTTTTGAACTAGTAGCTCAATCTTGGAACTGTTTGAAATTATGGATTCTACAGGCCACATTCTATAAGAAAATGATTTTTCCCAATCGATCTGAGACAATTTTTTTTGGGGCCAAAAAAAGGCAGTGTTTAACCTTCCTTTTTTACCAAAAATCGACTACACCAAAATTTCTAGGGAAAACACTTTTTCTTATTAATTTTGGTGCGTAGAATCCAAAACATTTCGTACGTTTTCGATTAGACCTCTCAATAAATAGTTATGGACAAAAAACAAATTTCGAAAAAAATTCAAAGGGCTGTAACTTTTAATCTTGTAGCCCAATCTTCAAACTGTTTGAAATTCTGGATTCTACGGGCCAAATTCTATAGGAAAATGTTTTTTGCCGGTCGATCTCACACAATTTTTTTTCCGGCCTCAAAAAAAGGCAGTACTTTTAAGTTATTCAAATATTTGAGAACAATTTAGAAATGTTTAGGGAAAGTTTCCATTGTCACAAAATCAAATATAAAAATCCGATACATCTGAATACCGAACTCGATAGTCTACGTAACTTAAAAACAATAGGGACCTTTCTTATATCCTTAAGACCATGTGTACCAATTTTCAAAGCGATCGCACGTTTCTAAACAAGTTATCATGCACACGGACAAACGGATGGTTCCAAAATCGCTAGGATTAATTTCAGAAAGGCGTACGTATCTTGTGCACGGACGTACGATCGCTTTGAAAACTGGTACACTTATTCTTAAGGATATAACTGGTATAAGAAAGGTCCTGGTAGGTACCTCCTATATAATAATATAATAATAATAATACGCTTTTACTCCCCTTAAATTTGTATATAACAATAGAAATATAAAAAAAGCTAACCCCATACAAAGTAGGTATGACTTGATTTTTTAAGTAGTATTAAGCCTTTTATCTAGAATACTATTTTAAATTGTTAATGTATTTGAGTGACAAGCATTTGAATACTTCTTACTGTATTCGAATACTGTTCAAAGTAAGATAATGAAATACTTTTCAAAGTATTCGAATACTTTTTATAGTATTCGAATACTTTTGATAGTATTAGAATACTTTTGAAAGTATTCGAATACCTTTGAAAGTATTCGAATACATTCTAAAGTATTTGAATAAGTACTTATTTTTTTAAGTATTTGAATACTTTTCAATGTATCTGTATCTAGTATTCGCTTGTGCTGGCTGGACGTAAAAGTATTTAGTATTCAAATACCTTTGATTTGTGTAAAGTATTTACTATTTAGTATTAAAATACTTTTTGAAAGTATTCTGCCCAGCTCTGATGGTAAAAGTAATTTGTTCCGAAGAATGCAATTATGCATTAACGAAAATGGAAGACAATTTGAGTAGTACCTAATTGCAAATTTATGTAGTTGTTGCGTTTTTGTTTCAAAGTAATTGTTTTTCACATTCATTTACGTCCATGGCACCCTTTATTATTTTAGCCATTTTAAAATAAAACTGTTATAATACAGGGTGGTGACTTGCGTAACGCATCATAGGGATTTCAATGTAGAATTCATAACACGCCATTATTAATTGGCTCCCCAAATTATTGTAGAGCAAAAATGTATTGAGGTTTTTTGTAGAAAGAAATTTTTTAAGTCAATCAACGGTATTAGTTTTCAATTTTTTGCATTATAAAGACGGAAAATTGCAAAAATAAAACCCCCATCTTTTTCAATAATCTGTGATGCCATGGAATTTTATAATACAAAAACTACGCCAATATCCGTCATGCCATGGAATGTCTGCTATAAAACAAATCAAATTCTATCAATAAGTATTATATTTAGAACAACGAATTCAACATAAAGAAAGACCTAATTACTAAAAACGGTTTCCTAATATAACATCGGGTAAAAGCCCGATCCAGACCCCAATTTGGTGGGTTCCTTATTTTATATTTTCGTGCATGGACACATCCTGGTGAAGTTCCGGGCCTTCACACCATATTTTCAAAATGCACAAAGAAAGTAGAATCCACTTCGTAACAATAATAAGAGAAATTAGTTTCATTATTCCTGAACTGTACTGTTTTATTTTAGAGGGACGCAGAATTTCAAAAAAATTCCTCGATAAATAAGAAAGTTGTATCTAATTAATTATGCGAGGTCGCTTAATTTCTATTTTTACTGTTCCCAATCCACAAGAATAGAGGAAATTTGTCAGGATCTCATCTAGTAGTGTCTTGCTCAAAAATGATTCAGGACCGTGTCGTAGTTCGGGTCCGGGTTTTACCCAGACTATTTAATTAAAACTTTACTTAAATTTAACTTATTTCAATCGATCGCTTGTACGTGGTATTTGTTTGTTTGGCCCCGAGTGCCATTTTTATTTCAGTTTTCGATTTCGCCAAAAGAAACGGCTAAAAATCATCTTGTGTTTTACTTTCTAGACAATTTCGTTATGGTTATTAATGATACAATGAACATCATAATGAAAGTTCATATCAAACGTGTATGGGATGTGGTGAAAGGTTTGTAAACAAAGCTCAATAAATTTTATAATTTTATTGTCAAATCAACAAGGGCACACTACGCAAGCGTAAGTATCTAAAAACCGATTTCGGCTACCTAATTACAGTCGATTAATACATGAAGAATTACAATTATTATATACATATCAGATAACAATCACAATTGATGTTGATTTCTTACCCGCCATCGTGTAGTAGACTTACAAAAGAAGTAGATAAAAGGAACCACTCGTTCTAAAAATTTTACTTAGCCAACTCCTTCATACGATTAAGTGCGCTTCCGGCTTTAAACCATCCAATTTGGAGATCATTGAGAGTGTGATTGAGCGATATTTTATCAACCGACCCATCGGCGTGCTTAATTTCGCAGGTTACTGGTTTTCCGGGCGCCAAGCTTTTCAAGCCGAGCAAGCTGATCTTGTCGGTCGGCTGAATTTTATCGTAATCGGCCGGATTGGCAAAGGTGAGCGGTAAAAGACCCTGTTTCTTTAGGTTGGTTTCGTGAATTCTGGCAAACGACTTGACGATGATCGCGCGTCCTCCCAGATGTCTCGGTTCCAAGGCGGCGTGCTCCCGAGAACTGCCCTCGCCGTAATTCTCGTCGCCCACCGCGACCCATTTGACGCCGTTGGCTTTGTAATGGCGCGCGACGTCCGGAACCGCACCCCACTCTCCGGTCAGCTGGTTTTTGATCTTGTTCATTTCGCTGTTTTCGTAATTGGTGGCGCTGTTAAATGAAGGGGAGCGGATGAGAGGGCAAACGTCAGTTTGATACTAACCCGATGAACATATTATTCGAGATGTTATCCAAATGTCCGCGGTATTTCAACCAAGGGCCGGCGGCGGAGATATGGTCGGTGGTGCACTTTCCTTTGACTTTAATTAAAACTGTCATATCGGTGAGATCCTTTCCGTTCCACGTGTCAAACGGTTCGAGCAATTGTAAGCGAGTGGATTTCGGATCGACGACGACGTTAAGCGAGCTACCGTCTTTCTTTGGCGCTTCATAGGTGTCCTGACCGGGATCGAAACCTTTCGAAGGCAACTCATCTCCGAAGGGCGAAGACAGCTTGAATTTTTTCCCATCAGCACCTGCAGATATTCAGTAACTTCAGTTAAATGGACAGACTGATTGGTTAGAATTTTTAAAAAACCCACTTAAATCCCTTTTTTTAACAATTACCGGTCAGTTCATGTTTTGTAGGATCAAAATCGAGTGTTCCAGCGATGCTGAGTGCCGTAACGAGTTCGGGTGATGTGACGAAGGCGTGCGTGGCGGGATTCGCATCGTTACGGCCGGTGAAGTTACGATTGTACGATGTGACTATGGTGTTCTTTTCGCCTTTCTTTACATCTTTACGGTCCCACTGCCCGATGCACGGTCCGCATGCGTTGGCGAGGACCTGCAGGTGAATGTTAGCCAGATCAAATTATCCGTAGGTACTTACGGTGCCACCGAAGTCTCTCAATATTTTCGCGATGCCATCGCGCTCTATCGTGGCACGGATTTGTTCCGATCCGGGGGTGACGTTGAACGGAATTTTGGACTTGAGACCGTGTTTCATGGCCTCGTTGACAATGCTGGCGCAGCGACCCATGTCTTCGTACGAGCTGTTCGTGCAAGAGCCAATTAAACCTACTTTAATATCGACGGGCCAGTTGTTTTTACGGGCGGCCTCTCCAAGTTTACTGATGGGGTGAGCAAGATCCGGCGTGAATGGTCCGTTAACGTGCGGTTCCAAGGTGTCTAGGTTAATTTCGATCAACTGATCGTATTTACAACCTGGATCCGGGTTGAGAAGATCCTTTTGATATTTATCCGCTTCCTTGGCGATGTCACCACGTTTCGTTGCAACTAAGTAATCGCGCATGCGTTTGTTGTAAGGGAAGAGTGAAGTGGTAGCCCCAATCTCGGCCCCCATATTACAAATAGTTGCCATACCGGTGCACGAAATCGAATCCACACCGGGCCCGTGGTATTCTACAATAGCACCCGTGCCACCTTTCACGGTAAGAATGCCGGCCACTTTCAAAATGATGTCCTTCGGAGAGGTCCACCCAGACAATTTTCCTAAGGTATGAGCTTTAGCCAATTAAAAAAGGTGGAGACAATCACCTGTAAGTTTAACACCAATCACTTTCGGACATTTCAACTCCCAAGGGATATTAGCCATAACGTCAACGGCATCCGCCCCTCCTACGCCGATACACAAGCAGCCCAACCCCCCTCCATTCGGTGTGTGCGAATCCGTACCGATCATCAAAAGTCCGGGGAAGGCGTAGTTTTCCAGGATGATCTGATGGATAATACCTACGAGAGAAATTTGCAGTCCGGGCATTACATTTTTGGGTAATACCTGAACCGGGTTTCCAGAACCCGACCCCGTACTTATTTCCGGCGCTGCTCAGGAAATCGTAAACTTCCTTATTTTGGCTTTTGGCGCGCGCAAGATCCTGATCCCCCCCAACCTGGGCCTCGATAAGATGGTCGCAATGGATCGTGCTGGGCACGGCGACGCGTTTTAGACCGCTAGAAATGAACTGAAGCATCGCCATTTGTGCGGTCGCATCTTGCATGGCAACGCGATCCGGTCGCAATCTTAAGTACGACGTGCCTCTCTCGATTTCCTGTGGTAGTAAATTAAACTCACCTTTAGTGTTCATTTGTTTATCTATTTCAATTGGGTATCCATGACGGTCGACAAACATACAGTGTGTTCGAGATAAGAGGGTCGCATCCTCTTTTATGTGGCGGCACAATAAAATTCTCAAATACGAATAATGTGACATTACGATCTATCCGATCGGACATTGAAACGTCCGGTTAAAATGCAATGCCTACTAAGATATTTGAAAATAATAATCAATTTGCTGCACTTAATAAAGTATGAAAATGGTACAAAAAAAGTAAAAAAAAAATTCTGGCATGCCGTGTGCTGTCAGGATGCGTGGTGTCTGTTGTGTTATACCGGTAAATCGTATCGCGCAAAAGTAAATCTTCACAACGAATCCTTGAACAAGTTGATGCAGGTTTTTTTCTGTGAAATAGTACATGGCATGCTAGATTTAATAAATGTAATAATTATTGAATCACGGATTTCTCAATTGTTTTGTATATCAGCATATTTTATATTGTTGTACAGCAAATTCATTGCCCCCTCCGAATATATTAAAAACATAGGCAGTCCATTTGAAAAGCAAGTGGAAGCTAAACCGGAAGTGAGGCCGGAAGTTGCAAATATGCGCTCGGATAGATCGTATCGTAAATTATATGACAATTTTTTCGTATATCGCTCAATAAAAGATATTGAGGTGACTCTTTTATCTCGAACGCACTGTATAGAACGATTATTGCTAAATTACTACAATAGCACCTTTTGTATTTGTGATTTAAGGGATTCTGAATCGTTCCCCCAGAAAACACATGCGTTGTAATGATGTATTTCCTAAATTCGATCACATTTTAACGGTGTAAGAAACCATTGATCGAGGGTAGCTCGGGGTGGGATGGGGCAGGGAGGATATATATATATGTCTTGGATGCAAGTTGGAGATTGTACGTAATAAGCGAAGAAACTAGCGGAACTCCCCCCCCCCCCCCCCCCCCCTCTAGCCTAAGGACATCGTTTGCATATTGTAGCGACTATTCAAAAAAAAAACCGGATGAAAAATTAGTCATCGGCGATTAAGACCGAAAGCGGATGTGAGGCAATATTTCCGGGAAATATAACGTGTTTTGCCCTAGAACAGTTTAGAATTCAAAGGTTGCATAGCAACTACATGCACATATCCGTCTGGATTTCTCAAGCCGGTTGAAAACCTATGGATTAAAAAATAATAGCACAAATATAATTCTATTTATTTTACAAATCAAGCGATTCGCAGCCCCTCGGGGTACATTCTAGAACAGTCGGGAGCGTTCGTTTTGCTATATAGGTATGCAAATCGAATTGCGTTTCAGACAGTTCCAATTTCAACGCCAAAGTAATAAATAGTTTGCGCTGTTATGAATTGTGTATATATGAGTAGCAAGTGTAAGGGTTTGATAGGGAAGAGCGTTTTTCTGGGGTAGCATTTTGGGAACGTAATGAACAAAAATAAAAAGCATAAGACATATATTCTCTACGACGATGGGGGTTTCAGTGGGACCGTGATTTTCTTTTTATATAGATATTCAAAGCGAATTATTGTAGCAATGTGCAGCTCGGAAACGAACAACTCTCAAGAGAAAACATACTATTGCCAAAGAGCTATTGCTCATTTTTATGTACAGGGTGGTTCAAATTCGTGGCTCACCATTGGGATCTCCGTAACGGTGTGAAGTTGCAAAGTAGTGACTAAAAAACCGCATTTGTAATTTTTGAAAAATCTTTGAAAGTATCTGAGATATCACCCAAAAACTAAAAATGTCAAATTTCGTTTTCATTTTCCCTACCGTAAACGGTCGAAAATCGACGGTTTCCGTTAGCACCTTCCATAGGCACTTAATTTCCATAACACATTTGATGTAGAAGCCACAGGCCACTACTTTCTTATTTTTTATGGGCGCCATATTGGATTTGTTACGGAATGAGATAGAGGACAAGAAAGAAAAATAATTACGTGTTTGTTTTCCGTAAATTTCCAAAAAAATTCAAAATCAAATGTTTTACATTTGTTTCTGAACAAGACATCCACGGGTAGCTAGATTTTGCTGAATTACCATGGCTATGATGCATTCAAATAAATCTCTCTTTTTGTCCTCCATCTCATTCCGTAAAAATCCAATATGGCGCCTATAAGAAATAAGAAACTAGTAGGCTTGTAGCACATCTGATGTGTTATGGAAATTCTGATTCTCCGAAAAAAGTGTCCATAGAAGAGGTGCTAAGGGAAAAGGAAGACGAAATTTGACATCTTCAATTTTTCAGTGATTTCTCAATTATTTTCAAAGATTTTTCAAACATTTCAGATGCGCATTTAACTTAGACTGTAGCTCCCACCGTTACAGAGATCACAATGGCGAGGCACGAATTTGAACCGCCCTGTACGTACGAGGGCGGCTCGTTTTATTTTTTTCTAAAAAAAAAAGAGTTGCGCATCGCGTCGAGTTCAATAATTATTAATTTTGATAATTTTTCTGGGAGCAATAATTTAGGACCTCTTTGGTTTTTTATTCTGCGCCCAATAATTGCAGTGGGAATCTTTCGAGCAGTTTTTTGTTCGGATTTATATACCTAGTGTGTAAAAAATTGAAAGTTCCAAAACGAATATTTTTTCAAAATAAACTAAGAAACCCAAATTTTCCGTTTGGGAGCTATGTTAATGGTCCCAAAATTTGCGTTTCTTCTTAAATCTTTTCTCAGCAACCCCACCCTAGACGCTTGTAATTAACAACCGCTTCCCATGGTTGTTGAATGTGACCTTTTCATGCGAGAATAGTACCATTTTACCATTTTTTTGCTGTGTACGTTATTTAACGCATCTAACTTTTGACATGATTTTACTAGGAGCCACTGCTAACATTAAAAAAAACGCTCCACAATCAAGAAAGGTGATCCAATAAATTCTTGATTTTTTAGAAATGGAGGGTTTTCAAAGAATAATGAGGCACAGTAAACAATATTTAGTAACAAATCATACAAGAAGCCATTTTTATTGGATATTTCTCAAGGAGAAATGGGAAAATTTGCAGGCAATGAATCTTTTAACAAAAATAAATACAATATGATTCTTGAAACATCCTGTATGCATATCTTTAGAAACAGTGTGTTCTAGGTTGGCAATCCTGATTTTATTAATTTTTAAATGTGAACTGTGTGCACTACAGCTGACTGTTAAAAGAGAAGTTTCTCTACTGTAAGAATGCAGCAATTTTAATTTCGGTACACAATTCACTGTCTGCTTCATTAGCATCATACAATCACAATTACCTGCTTGTTGGGTTCATCAATATGCGAATACAAGACCTTTTCCGACAACGTAAGAGGTGTACCTAAACGTTTCTTAACCACCTCCAAGTTCTTAGTCAACTTATCGTAGGGCATGTAACTTTCGGCATCGAATTTGCTCATTGCCACCTTGGAGGCGGCGGCAGAAAGCGGCGACACGTGGAAGCATCTTATTTGTATCTCGGTCAGTAGAACCTTCGTGATTTTGCAGCCCTGAAAACAGAAGTCCACTGTCAAGGGGGGCAATCGACACAATAAACATTTCGCCTTGTCCTTTGCGATAAAAGTTAACCTAGACATTTGAACTGTGTGCAATTTGCGATAAATTTGTGCGAAATTCAAATTACGTAACGACCATTGACTTTAAACGACATTTAAGTTTCGCACGTGACATTAGCAGATTTTTGGGTTAAAAGGGCGATTCTTACCTGGCGATGCAAAACTCCCGTACAGTACGCCATGGGTGATAAACTGGAATTTTTAGTTTAAGGGCGAAATATTTTTGAGAAGCCAATGCCCCTCAGACGAATTTGATCACGTCTTCTTCGATTTCGTACGTACTTTTGTTATTTCTGGCCAAGATTCTGCGCATTTGCAATACGCATTCAAATACCGCTCCTGACGCAAATGATACAGGGTGTTCGGAAATAATAGGAATGTCTCGTCGCCAGGAAATGTGGCCGAGGTCGGACACCTTAACTCCCAACCAACCTCAAAATAAGAAAGCGCGGTCGATCACACCCCCAACCAACAGCGGGTCCATCCTGCAAACATAATAAGGAGAACAACTCAAAATAGCCGTTAATTAATTCCAACGATCTACAGGGGAAACTGACGAAGGTCCTGGTGAAGGTCCCTGACTAGCAACGGTTCGGGTACACTGGCGGAACCACAGCACACATCTTTAGGAGATCTGTTTTTGCAATAAAATAAGCTCGATGGTCTTAATATTTTTTGTGTTGTTTTCCCCATTATAATTAAACATTTTTATTCGGCTTTCCTTATTTATTATTGTCTCTCTCTTGTTATTCTGGGCCCTCCACAGGCTATTTCGCCCAATTACCGAGTGACCCGCATAATTTATGCTTTGTAGAGGTGCCCCTGCAAAAGGTTTTAAGTTGTTCTATACTACTCCGGTATATTTACCTTACGAATTAGGAAACCTGCAGGAAAACCTAATTCGGAGTAGCCGGCCGAATGCTCGAAACTCATCTAAGGAAATTCCCATCTCTGCTACAGATGAAAAATTCACCTCAGCCCAGGTTCGAACACCCGACCTCCCGGCTATGTAACCCTACGCTGTACCACTGAGCCGCAAGAAAGTTCTAAGGACATTTTGGGGGCGAACATAGCACCGGGAAGCCTGGGGGGTATTCCATAACATCAGAGGGTGATTTGACGACAACTATCATGGTAGTTTTCGGGAAAGTTGAGGGGTATTCCACATCTCCCAGACCCCCGGTGCTACCCTCTCACCCAAAAATATCTTCAGGGCAACTGCTATGGTTATTATTCCGTTGTAGAGAGCGTCATCAAATTTCTTTCCTAGGAGATCCATACACAGAGTGTTCTAAGGGCTTAATATTTTGGGAGACAGAAAGCATCAGTAGGGGGTCTGGGAAGAATGGAATACCCCTCATCAAAATGAGATTTGATGACAACTGTCATGGTAGTTTTCGGGAAAAAGGTAATTAGAGTATTTCTTCGGTGCACTGGGGGGATTCTATATCCCCCCCCAAAGGCCCAGAGCCCCGGTGATGCGTTCTCCTTCCAAAAATCGTTGGCAGATTCGCTTTTTTTACGACACGGAGTGTACCTGCGGTAGGATTATTCTTTCCCGCCTCTTCACGGGAAAAATTGTGAAGCGCACGATCATACTAAATGAAGAAACTTTTGTCCGTCCGTCCGGACTCACTTCTGCGGTTTTGAACTACTGTTAGTGGAATGGTCCTACAGCCTATACCTTGAAGGTGTGCCAGACGGCCATCAAATTTCGCTGTCTGAAGAGGGGGAGCTGAGATGCAGTTTTTGAAAGTAAAACGTGCATAACTTTCACATGCAACAACCCAAGTGGTCTCAAAATTTTCATACGCATCCTTTTAATAATGCCAACTAAAATTTGTAAAAATGGGGGGAGAGGGGAGTTCTACCCTTCATGGTACAGTATAATTGTATTTTCCATGGTATTATAATTAAAGGTATCAACAAAAGGAACTGTTTTTTACCAACCACCGCTCTACTTTCTGACTCCTTATCAAAAGAGGGGAAGGGAGTGGAACTGATTTTACCCTTTATGAAGACATGAAGACACCATGAAGAAGACTTTAAGTAGGAGGGAATGACGACTGAGAGGAGGCGCAAGGTATAAGGGAATCAGGTGCAAAAAGTGTCTTCAAAAAGAATTGAGTTTCCTTGGACTTTCTTCAAAATATTTCCTTTCATTGAAATTCGTTAGATAAAAAAACTCTTCGGACTACTACACTTTTTCAAATTCTTCTAATCCGCAATTCTAAAGATTTTTCGATTTATGGAATTGTTCTAATTTTTCACATTCTTTGTTTCCTTGAAATTTTTTGTATCTTTCAGGTATTTTTTCACTTGGATTTTTCCGATTATTCGGTTGATAAATCTTCAGTTTAAACGTTGCAAGTGCCTTAAAGACCAATTATACACGTGTTTCTTATAGTATTTTTCTTATACCTGCAATATAATTTAAAAATAAGGGAAATAAAATAAAATCATTGACCTTACACCCGAATACATATCTAATTAAGTGGACTGTTTATTCTTAATTACATGATTGCTATGAAAATGTCACTTGACGTTTGTTTTAGGTCACAGTCTTTATAAATAAAATGCCTTCGGTTGAAAAAGATAATAACCGCCCATTCCATGGCTTGTTGCAAAAGCAGAATAAAAGTTGGTAGGTGCAAAATCCAAATCCAATAAAGAATATTATATAACATGAACAGTTGTTTTAAAGGTCCGATTTCGCACGCATTCGAGTGTTCAAAACGGAGATTGTGATTCAGATAATAGAAAACGGCCAGGTAAGATCTACAGCGAAATAGCAAGGAAGTTAAATAAGTACTTGGGAGGGGACATGAGTGACAATTCGCAGGAATGTAGTGCTACACAGTGCATGGAAATACAGGGTCAGTTCAAGGAGGAGGACTTTCGTTATACAGTTGCAAAATTATTTATTTATTTATACAAGGTGTACATCTTTGGTCATATCGAATCTTAGATATTTAAGGAAGGTGCCTTCATAGACATCAACCTATCACTGTAACGCTCCAAAACCGGCCTGACCTCGTCCTCTAAAAATTCAACCACCTGCTCGTCAGCTCTCCCAATGAAAGTGTTGGCATCTAAAATCTTATCCAAATGGTTTAAAATCGGAGCAAAATACCCGTCGTTTTTGATGCGCTCGATCAAATCGTTATCCTTGCCGTGCTGTTTCACCTCGGCGGCGGCTTCTTGCGAAAGAACGCGAATTTTCTCGTGGCAAACCTGTCGATCGCCGCCCTCCTTGACCATTGCCATGATGATGTTCTCGGAGCACATGAATGGGAGCTCCTGGAGGATGTGGCGGTGTATGACTTTGGGGTAAACGACGAGGCCGGAGGTGATGTTGAGGGCTGTGAGTAGAATGGCGTCAGCACTTAGGAAAGCTTCGGCGAGGGTGATGCGCCTGTTGGCCGAATCGTCTAGGGTTCGTTCTAGCCATTGCACCGCGTGCGTGTTGGCGGCATTGGAGTACAAGGCCATGAGGTGGCGCGCTAACGCGCAGCACCGTTCCGAGCGCATCGGATTGCGTTTGTAGGGCATGGCGGAGCTTCCGATTTGCGTCTTCTCGAAGGGTTCCTCGATCTCTTTCTTATGCGCCAGCAGCCTTAGATCGCTGCACATTTTGTGCACGGTTGCCCCCAGGCTCGATAGCGCGGCTATTACTTCGATGTCAACTTTGCGCGAATAGGTTTGGCCCGTCACCGGGTACGTCTGCCTAAAACCGGAGAGTTCGGCGACGCGCTTGTCGAGCGCCTTGACTTTGGCGGAATTTTCGTTGAACAACTGCATGAAAGAGGCTTGCGTTCCGGTCGTGCCCTTGGTACCTCGAAATCTAAGGTCGTCTCTAGCGCGCGAGATTGCGCGTTCGTCCATAAGAAAGTCTGCAATCCATAAGGTGGCCCTTTTGCCAACGGTCGTCATCTGCGCCGGCTGGAGGTGTGTATATCCAAGTGTTGGAAGAGATCTGTACGTAAAAGTTATAACGATGGGGTAGCCCTACTAGACGTCTTCTAGTATAAAAACAGTCACGTCAATCACGCAGGTAGACGCCCACTGCAAAACTTGTGTCTTTTTTTTCACATGGGCTAGATTAAGATGAAAATATAATAGAATAATTGACAACGAGCTGCGTGATTGACGTCTAGTAAGTCATTACACTCACTTGTATTCCTCTGAAAATAATGAAAGATTCCTAATCACACCAGCGAGCCGTGCGAGTAGGATGTCCAAGCCGTCCTTCAAAATCATTAGGTCGGTATTGTCTCCTACAAAGCAGGAGGTTGCGCCAAGATGTATGATGGGCGCTGCTTTGGGGCAGAGCTTCGCGAAAACGTGAACGTGGGCCATTACATCGTGCCTAGTTAAGGCTTCTTCGGCGGCTGCAGCTTCAAAATCGACGTTGTTTATGTTTGATTCCATTTCGGCAATCTGGTCATCGGTGATATGAAGACCCAATTCCTAAAATCAAATCCATATGATTAGTATTTCTTAAAAAACGGTTTTTCGAAAAGAAATAAATGACAATTTGGTTACCTGCTGGTCAAAATACATGGATGGACGGCTATAGAATTATGAACAAGTAGCGATTTTAATATCTACTTATCAGTTCGATCAATTGTTTATGTATTAATTAGGTAAACTAAAAAAAATCAATACTGTTGTAGAAACAACGTGATGTAGACGTTATTTTTGTCTAACCAAAAATAATGACGGGACATCCTGTATATGAGAATATTTCAATTTATTAAGTAAATCTGGGGATTATTTATGAATTAAGCACGGAATTACTTTCATTTGAATTTGTTTCTCAGTCTAGTCTTGTAATTTATTCATTAGAAATAAGACATCGGATGATTGCATAAGGAGGAGGCGAAAATTAAACACTTATCTACAGAGAGAAGAGGCAGACTAAGAGATCCTTGTTCTGGTCTTGATAAGCTAAAGAAATATGCAATTGACAGAGATACATTATATGAAGAAGTCGTCGAAAATAAAAAAAATACGGCCTTTTGAGCTCAGAAGGACGCTTTCTGCCTTATCTGTAACAACAGAAACAAACACACAAGAGGCACAGTGCGCTGCACAAAAATGTTACGGTATAGCAATGTTTAACGTTTTCAAAGCAGACCAAATTTGCTATAATTTAAGCCCACATCCGTTTGTATAGGTGTAATAGATTCCGAGATAATGCTTTTCAAAGATTGTCAATTTTTCGAATTCAAAAATCTTTCACAATACTTTATGGGTGACGTTTCTATTCTGTTTTACACAGATGCCAAGAATGGGCGGTATTACGCTGAAAAATAAAACGAATAATGAATTTTGTAAGGTGGTAGTTTCTGTTGCCAACTAAACTGTCGAACAATTATTAGCTGATAATGTCAAAGATCCAAGAGTGTAATCGTTTGATTTAGTTCTGTTCAGTTCAGTGCTGGATATTTTTACTTTACAATAATTCGATGCCGTTTTTTATTTTCCCTGATTTTTTTCTGATCTAGAAATAGTGGAGGACGTATTGTGGAGAGATGTTACACAAAATATTGACAATCCAGCCACAAACCTTTCAAGTGAGGAAATGGACGATGCTCAACCGTGCTCGTCCAAGAAGGGAAAATATACTTCGATGGAAGTCAAACAAAATTTCTTTTTATAAAATGACTGTTTTGAAGTTTAATTAAGAATATCATTTACACCTCTCGTTTTCTTTTATAAAATTACAGAACAACAAAATAGTGCTAACAATTTTCGACTTTGAAAAAATCGATAAACTTTGAAAAACATTATCTCGTAAACTATTACGTCTATAGAAACGGTTGTAGCCTCAAATTGTAAACAATTTAGTCTACTTTCAAAACGTATTCATTAGTTATTGGCGAAAAACTGGTCCTTCAGGGTTAAAATCGTCAAAATCTGAACAGAAAACGAAAATTCCTCGTTAGTGTATTTGACTATGTTGCGTTCGCCGCTCGAGGTCGAAAACTTGAATTATACATTGGGTTAACAACATAAGCAATCCCACAAAAAATCAGAACTACCAGATTTGACGCATGGTCTGTTGTATATAGTTACTGGACTACACATTCTATAAGAAAATTTTTTTGCCGGGTCGATCCGAGACAATTTCTTTTTCGAGGCTCAAAAAAAGGCAGTGTATAACCTTCCTTTTTTTCCAAAAATCGACTGCACCAAAATTTCTCGAGAAAACACTTTTTCTTATTAATTTTGGTGCGTAGAATCCAAAACAATTCGTACTTTTTCGATAGACTTCTCAATCAAAAGTTATAGACTAGAAACCAATTTCGAAAGAAAATTCAAAGGGCTGTAACTTTTGAACTAGTAGCCCAATCTTGGAACTGTTTGAAATTATGGATTCTACAGGCCACATTCTATTAGAAAATTTTTTTTCCGGGTCGATCTGAGACAATTTTTTTTTCGAGGCTCAAAAAAAAGGCAGTGTATAACCTTCCTTTTTTCCAAAAATCGACTGCACCAAAATTTCTCGGGAAAACACTTTTTCTTATTAATTTTGGTGCGTAGAATCCAAAACAATTCGTACTTTTTCGATCAGACTTCTCAATCAAAAGTTATAGACTAGAAACCAATTTCGAAAGAAAATTCAAAGGGCTGTAACTTTTGAACTAGTAGCCCAATCTTGGAACTGTTTGAAATTATGGATTCTACAGGCCACATTCTATAAGAAAATTTTTTTCCGGGTCGATCTGAGACAATTTTTTTTTCGGGCTCAAAAAAAGGCAGTGTATAACCTTCCTTTTTTACCAAAAATCGACTGCACCAAAATTTCTCGGGAAAACACTTTTTCTTATTAATTTTGGTGCGTAGAATCCAAAACAATTCGTACTTTTTCGATCAGACTTCTCAATCAAAAGTTATAGACTAGAAACCAATTTCGAAAGAAAATTCAAAGGGCTGTAACTTTTGAACTAGTAGCCCAATCTTGGAACTGTTTGAAATTATGGATTCTACAGGCCACATTCTATAAGAAAATGTTTTTTCCGGGTCGATCAGAGACAATTTTTTTTTCGGGGCTCAAAAAAAGGCAGTGTATAACCTTCCTTTTTTACCAAAAATCGACTACACCAAAATTTCTCGGGAAACACTTTTTCTTATTAATTTTGGTGCGTAGAATCCAAAACAATTCGTACTTTTTCGATCAGACTTCTCAATCAAAAGTTATAGACTAGAAACCAATTTCGAAAGAAAATTCAAAGGGCTGTAACTTTTGAACTAGTAGCCCAATCTTGGAACTGTTTGAAATTATGGATTCTACAGGCCACATTCTATTAGAAAATTTTTTTGCCGGGTCGATCCGAGACAATTTCTTTTTCGAGGCTCAAAAAAAGGCAGTGTACAACCTTCCTTTTTTTTCCAAAAATCGACTGCACCAAAATTTCTGGAGAAAACACTTTTTCTTATTAATTTTGGTGCGTAGAATCCAAAACAATCCGTACTTTTTCGATCGGACTTCTCAATCAAAAGTTATCGACTAGAAACCAATTTCGAAAGAAAATTCAAAGGGCTGTAACTTTTGAACTAGTAGCCCAAACTTGGAACTGTTTGAAATTATGGATTCTACAGGCCACATTCTATAAGAAAATTTTTTTCCAGGTCGATCCCCCATCATTACTATACACTAATACTTTAATGGCCCGTAACCTATGCAATTCCACCTGGCCCGCAGTTACCCAGTCCGCCCCTGAATACCTGCGTGCTTCTTTCTTACAGCGGATTATTGTTGAATAGAATGTGTTTCTTGACCGTTTGGGGTTCTGGGGGGTACTTATTTTGACCCTTTTCGCCGTGAAGCGGAAATTCCAGAGATGTGAATGTAACGAATATTATATTGCGACATCCAGCTGTTGTTAATCACGCAGCTCATCTGTAGCTTGTGATATTCCGAACAAGGGAGCAGCTACCTATGCGAGGGGTCGGATTTGTTTTATTGCCTGCCTTCATCCTGCCTGTTCTCTGTTCTACAACTTGCATTGAATCTGTTTTTAGAATAATAAATATTTGAACTGCATGTCTTATGTGTGTGATTTTACTGTTATTATCTGAGTGTTCTAAACCATTTTTCGCATTGCCTTTATTTGCATAAATTCGAAAAGTATGCAGGAAGTTTTGACAGCTGTTACCATTTCTTGTGTAAATGTTTTGTTTGTAGAAATTAACGAATTGCTTTATATGTGCCGACGAACCCTTTTTGCAGTGATGGGACAATCCCAGGGACGTGAATATCTGTAACGAATACCACGACATCCAGCTCTGGGATGTGATACTCCGAACGAGGAGGCAGCTACGTATGTGAGGGGTGAGGATTTTCGCTGAGGTAACGAAATCATTACGAAATTCTCTTTATTGTACACATGGAGTAAAAAAATGTATACCGTTGATTTGTATAAACGTCACGCCTAATCTCAACCGATACTGTACGGCATTTTTGCTACTGTAAAACCTTTCGCAGTGCATAAAAAACGAGTTCGCGCAAAGAATCCACAGCCACATATACCACTGTTTAAAAATAATATTGTTTAAAATATAGATTCCTAATATTGAGAATTAATACACGAGTTAAAGTTTAATCTTGTCGTTCCTCTCGAGATCGTCGTCACATTTCAGTTGCTTCTCCTCTTCGATTACAGTCATCGGGCTGTAAATTGTAAAACTAAAGATTGCACATTAATAAATCGCGCGAACCTTCCGAATGTCTCGCAGTCCGCTATCGTGGCCGGCAATTTTTGGTTGAGCGTCTCTGGTAGGAGCAGGGATAGGCATCCGGCCAAAAGCGATAGGATTCCGAAGATGATTAGCGGAAACGGTTTCCATACTTCGTTCTGGAACCGAAGGGATAATACCTACGGTAAGGATGACGATGGAAACTCACGCTCAAGTTGATGAGGGGAGCGGATATCGAGCCTATACGCGCGCACATCGAACCTGCTCCGAGACCGGCGTTTCGGATTACCGTCGGGAATTGCTCGGTGGAGAAAATGTATACTGTTCCATAGCTTGCAGTGATCGCCAACTTTCCGATCATCGCCAGCGTCACCGTCATCCAGGGATGCGCTACGAAACAAGTTCATCAAAAATAACTCACTACCATTCCAGGGAGTTTTTCGGCAGACAATAATTATCGAACGTACCTTGCGGTACAGCCATCGTGAGCAGCAGAGCAACGCCGGCGGTGACCATACATCCGCACAGAATCGATTTACGACCCCATCTGTTTAGGGTGAGAAGAAGGAACGTGTACGCTGGAAGTTCAACCGCACCCGCAATCACAAAATTGACGTAGTCGTTTCCGCCTAAATTACTCGTGTTCCACGACAGACCGTAGTAGGTCATGCTGTTGACCATCCTAAAACAGAAAAAAAACCATTGAGGCCTTACCAGAATATATTTGGTACAATATTCCGTGAAATACGCTCTGAATATTTTTTGAAGATATTCTCGCTACAAATTTCCATCATGAGAATATAATGGAATATTCTTTTAAAATATTCCGAAACACTTTCTTGCTAGTTTAAGGATATTCCTAATAATAAAATAAATTAGGCCATAATCACTTTGAGTCCTTACAACCAACCTTACTTCCTTAATTTTTATGAATATTTTTCTGTGATCATAATGTTAGTCAATACAACAATGAATATACTGAAACTGTTGCATTTTCTTTTTAGTTTAAGAATATTAAATAGAATATATCGGGTCATTATTTTTTCCAATATTCTGTGTGTGCTTATTTTTTAAACAATCTCAAATTAAAAAGTGACAGTTCGGATAAGGAATATTCTATTAATTTATGAGAATATTCCAACGTTGCCATTTTTTTGGTAATATTCGGGGTGTTTGAAAAAAATTAGTTTCGATTTAAACAGTGACTTTATCTTTATTGACGGCCAAGCCAATATTTTAGACATTAATTTCAATACTTAATATGTAATCAAAACTCATCTTTAGTAAAAGATAATTATGTATGATTAGATATTAATCGTAAGAATAAATTATAACTTGTTCGTAACACATCGGATAAGGAATATTCCATTACTTTATGAGAATATTCCAACGCTGCCATTTTTTGGCAATTTTCTCTGTGTGTGCTTGTTATTTAAACAATCAACTTCAAATTAAAAAATGACTTGTACGCAACTCATCGGATAAGGAATATTCCATTACTTTATGAGAATATTCCAACGCTGCCATTTTTTGGCAATATTCTGCGTATGCTGGTTTTTTAAACAATCAACTTCAAATTAAAAAATGACTTGTACGCAACTCCTCGGATAAGGAATATTCCATTACTTTATAAGAATATTCCAACGCTGCCATTTTTTGGCAATATTCTGCGTGTGCTTGTTTTTTAAACAATCAACCTCAAATTAAAAAATGACTGGTTCGCAACTCATCGGATAAGGAATATTCCATGACTTTATGAGAATATTCCAACGCTGTCATTTTTTGGCAATATTCTGAGTATGCTTGTTTTTTAAACAATCAACCTCAAATTAAAAAATGACTTGTACGCAACACATCGGATAAGGAATATTCCATTACTGGGTACCTCGGTACTTACCAATCAAAGAATACTATCAGCGATCGTTTCCTTAGGTTAGGATGCTTGAAGATCTCAAGTATTGTAACTGACTCCTCCTTGGTATCTTTCGGTTTAACTTCACTGGCGAGGAGTGCGTGAAGATCTTCGTCTGGTATGATCACCTTGTTTTCCTTGGCTGCTTTCTGAATGAGTACCTTAGCTTCCTGTAGTCTACCTTTAGTCAATAACCAACGTGCCGATTCCGGTATGAACCTAAAAGGTGAATTAAGGACGGACGTGCGCGCGTTGCAAACGGAAGTCTTACCACCAGTAACAGAAAAATACAGCTCCCGGCAGCGTCAACGCGACCTGCAGATATCGCCAGTCGTGTATGAAATACGCAAACAGCGCCACCAGCATGTAGCCGCAGGAAAAGAACATTTGACAGACAACGCCGGCGATAAGTCGATCCATGGGACCCACCATTTCCATTGCTAGCAGTTATGATAAGTTCAGTCTCGCGACCCGGATAGCTCACCTATGACATACGCGACCAGAAAAACGCCCGAGGTGGTCGAGCCCACCACGAAGCGGAAAATCGAATACGACCAAAATTCGGGCGCAATCGAGACGAGCACCCCAAACACCACCTGGATAACCAGCGAAATGAAAAATATAATTCTTCGTCCAAATCTGGAAAGACACTTATTAAGCGCGATCCTTTATCCCGGATCGTCACAATTACCTATCGGATAGGTCGCCGAATACGATCGAGCCGACTAGAACACCCAGCATGAAGATGGCGTCTCCTATTGCTGTCAAATAAGCCCGATTACATACAATATTCCACTGAAAATATTATTTGTAATTTTGATAGGGAGTGCGACGACGTCCGTAGGTTTAAAGTTCATGAATTACCTCGATTACAATACTACTCTCGTATTTACTGTAATCATAGATGTAACTGTCGCAGGGGGCGTCTCTTCCATTTTCGAGCAGCGAGCACGACGAGTACCTTTCGAGGGCGGCTTCGTACGGATACGACTCGTTTAGAATACTGATCGGTAATTCGTACGTTGCGTTCGGAAGCTCCGATGGTAGCTGGCATCTGGAACGAAACGGAGTTTGGTGGCACCAGAACCGAACACCTACCGGTGGTTCACTTTCGCCTGCAAGAACATGTTCGACAACTTGTGAAAGGCGCATAGCACCGCCGGTAAACAGAGCAGCAGATAAATTCTCCTTTGGTATCTGAAATTTGCTCGATTACAAACGCGAAAAATAGCGCTTAATTTACCTTCCAAAGTTACCCAGCATCGGTATTACGTCATCGTACCCCATTTCGCCAACTGCAACAGGAAGCGGGCACATTAAATAAATGCTTAGATCGATACGATCAAAATTGTTCAGTGCAATATCGTAATCAAACAAAGCCGATAACAGATTTAAGGCAATAAAAACCGATAAGAGTTTATATTTAGATGTGCTTTTTCAAAGTATAGCGATACCGATACCGTCCTACTTGAAAGGTAGGGTAAACATCACCCTGTATATGAAAATTCCCATACTGTTTTTTGAAACACTCTGTATACCTTCGAGTCGAGAGGATTTAAGGCAATAAAAACCGATAAGAGTTTATATTTAGATGTGCTTTTTCAAAGTATAGCGATACCGATACCGTCCTACTTGAAAGGTAGGGTAAACATCACCCTGTATATGAAAATTCCCATACTGTTTTTTGAAACACTCTGTATACCTTCGAGTCGAGAGGATTTAAGGCAATAAAAACCGATAAGAGTTTATATTTAGATGTGCTTTTTCAAAGTATAGCGATACCGATACCGTCCTACTTGAAAGGTAGGGTAAACATCACCCTGTATATGAAAATTCCCATACTGTTTTTTGAAACACTCTGTATACCTTCGAGTCGAGAGGATTTAAGGCAATAAAAACCGATAAGAGTTTATATTTAGATGTGCTTTTTCAAAGTATAGCGATACCGATACCGTCCTACTTGAAAGGTAGGGTAAACATCACCCTGTATATGAAAATTCCCATACTGTTTTTTGAAACACTCTGTATACCTTCGAGTCGAGAGGATTTAAGGCAATAAAAACCGATAAGAGTTTATATTTAGATGTGCTTTTTCAAAGTATAGCGATACCGATACCGTCCTACTTGAAAGGTAGGGTAAACATCACCCTGTATATGAAAATTCCCATACTGTTTTTTGAAACACTCTGTATACCTTCATTTTGATAAAACGCGATTTTGTTTGTTGCACGTTTAGAATGTGAAGTTTAACAGAAAAAAATCAAAATCAAGGTTGCAGGAAAGAGACGCGAAAAGGGGACACTCTGTATATAAAGTGTAGCTATAGTGTCAATGTCGCAAAAACAATTTAATTCTCCAAAGTATGTAAATAACAAGAAGGGCAGAGCTTTTGCACCATCCTGTACACAGAAGTCAATGCGTATATCAAAATCTATGCAAACACTCTGTATATTATGATTTCTTGATTCTTCGATACTACTTGCCGAGTTATATTCTCGTCAATTTCGTATCAGTATCTTGCCTGGTAAATTAACGTTCCCACCCCCACCCCACCAAACGCATTTCTACCTCGTATCGTCGGTTAACTGCAAAATTCGCTTTACCCCCACCACCTCACTACCTCACTCGCATAAAGTCTATAGATCAGGACTACTTGCAAATCAAAAATTAACTCTTAGTCCTCTTTCGATAAATGATAAAGAAATGTCGAGAGGATTCGTTACATTTTTAAACCAGTGAATTATTCGTCCCCCACCCCCAAGGGTCTAGAGATTCCCCATTTGACAATGACACTTAATTAATTTGTGGTAGGCTTTTGCAATTATGTTCTTGTCTACTTTGTGCGAGACAAGAGACTCCTGAACCCCCCCCCCCCCCCTACTGCTCCAGGAATGGACACCTAGTTCGGATGTTGCACTTTCCCTTTATAAGTACCCTCTTCCGACTTTTCGTTTTAAAGATATCGACCTCGCCAATACGCAAAGATTTATTTTGCTCTTGTGGGCGCTCTCCTCTGCCACGCCGTTATCGCGATGTTCGCTCTTACAGTCGTGAAAGCACCAATATTTCTTGTAAACGCCCCAATCGCCCTTTTGTGAGTACCCTCATCCGACACTCTGCTTTTGAGATATGCTGAATCATTATCGATTACGATAAGAGGTCGAAAAAGGATAAAATCAGTTCGTCTCCTCCGCCGCCCTCTGTTATAAAGGGGTAAGGTGTAGAAAACAGGAGTAAAATTAAATATTATTATTAAACAATGCCTTCCATTAGGACCTTTAATACTATGAAAGAAAAAAAACCAACCCCCCGGCCTTGCACCTCTAGCCACTTTTGATCTCTAAATTGAGTCGCGGACAGTTATATAGTTTGTAGTAATCAATTCCCTTCGATGAGACCTTTCTTTAGAATACCATGAAGGGTAGAATTTGTCCCCCCCCCCCCCCGCCCCGCGCCATCTTGAAAAGTTTTGCTTGGCCCCAATAGAGTTGTTCCGTGAATTATTCGTGTTATGCCCCCCCCCTCCCCCCCTCCTCTAGTTTACAAAGTTTTGAGGGATTCCGCTTTGGACAATGACACTTTGTGTCAGACTTTTGTAATTATGTTCTTGTCGAGTTCGTGTCAAATTCACGTTGATAAAAAATGAAAGGAATCGTTACATTTTTAATTCAATGGAGTATTCGAATTATGCCCCCTCCTCCACCCCATACGCTCACTAATCATTTGCAAATTAATTCCTAGACAGGTTCCGAGCGCCATTTTTCAACAAAATGATCAAACTTTTAAAATTTTGATTTCAGCTTCCTATTATTATTATTATGCCCCCCCCCACTTTACACAGGTTTGAGGGATTCCGCTTTGGAGAATGACACTTGTCAGCATGTCGGCTCCTAAATTCACTGCCCACTTTGCCCCCCCCCCCTCTCCAAATCGTCCACTTCTTCAAATTCTTCCCGACTTACAGTTTCATCGGATTATTCATTTTTTTTTCAATTCATCATCGGGTTCTTCGGATTCTTCCGCTTCTTCCAAAGTTCATAAATTCATTGCCGTATTCTTCAAATTTTGAAAATCCAGCAGAATTTCTGATTCTTTGGATTCTTCTCTACCTCTTCTTCGAATTCTCCTTATCTTTTGAATTATATGGACCTTATTTGGATGTCTTTCGGATCTCCTCCTAGATTTTTGCGGCTTTATAATCAGAAAAACAATTCAAACTTTTGATTATGCAACAAAAACGATTTAGAAGAGTCGTTGACATGATACAAACTGGACCGAGGCCTACGATCCAGCAGTTCAGGGTTCAAGGGCTAGAAATACGTGTAAACAAATTAATTTTAAGTGGACATTTATGTACATTTTCAGCTAATTAATTAACTAATTACGTGATTTAAGTGTAGCCATAATCATCCAACTCAAAGTCATTATGTTGCCTCCGAGGTTGCCCTTATCGATCGCCCTAAATTTGCCAATGTTGGACGAACCGATTTTGTTATAAGTATACGGTTTCCGTTACAATTTAATGCAAAATGGACGCAGATAAGTGCGTAATTTGGTTTGGGTCCGATCGGAAAAGGTCATGTCAGTCCGTAACATAATTTGCAATAGTTCTTGTTCCCTAATAGGTACGTTGCTACCCACAAACCAAACCGCCAACCTTCCGGAAAGTTAATGACCATGGCCGACGGTTCGGCGACAAACAAAACAATAACAATGGAACGCCACCCAATTAGCCGTAATTAGTCGGAATTAAAATGGTGATTGTAATCAATCCATGATTTGAGCGAAGATTCAAAATGGATTGAAAGGGTCCCTCCGACATGAAATTTACCGTATTAGGTGTACAGAAATTGGTCCGGGTCGACCTGCTAAAGTTCTTGTATTAGGAAAATGAACGGATGCTATTGGTGTATCAGGAGCGTTCGCCACACTCTTCTAACAAAAAATGTCGGAAACAGACTCATATCAGGAGCATAGAAGAAGTAATGTGATCAGGAAAATATGATATGAAACTTGAGTCCGGCCATTTCAAACGAAGTTGGATTGTATCGCAATTCGTCAAGAGTTTATATGCTCCTGATGATAACACGCCTTCTGTGGATCAATTGCGAATCAGAAGACTTTTGGTATACGGAGAACATGTAATAAGATAAAAATATTTCGTTTGCTCCTGATGCAATGAACTTCCCTCTTATTTCGCTTTAGCAACTTGTAAGGCTAATAGACCATCTGACAATGCCAAGTGTCACGAAAACAAAACATTTCATCCTGAATGCAACCTATTTTTGGCCTCGATGGAATTCTCTGTGAGCTGAGCAAGTAGGTAGGCTGACTAAAATTGAGGTTACAGTCCGGCGATAAAGTTAAAAATAGTCCACAAATTTGTGGTAACCAACGACATGTAAATCGCGTGTTAGGTGATAATGCAATCGCGTTGTCGAATGTTTTACATCCGGATGGTAAATCGTAAAAAGAGACTTCCTGGATTGTTTTCGACGTTTCCTAATCTTTTCGGCTGTGTCGGTTCTTGTGATAGTCGAAAAACTTGAGTGTCTCAAGGATCCTATCTTGGACCAAATTTTTTATTTTGTTTCTATTGAATTCTAATTTATTTCGTTTTGGTAGAAGTGTCAATGTCAGATTAATTCAGTGGCGCGCTTAATTGACTATGCCGCGGTAAAAATTAAATTACGCGAACTCAGTTTGGGTAGAGCTCAATCAATTTTTTGTAATTGCAAAATTGACTTTTATAATTGAGGGCTAATTATATCGCCCAATTGCGCTTAATTATGACGCAAAATTACCTTTAGTTTGAGCTATGGGGGATGCCGGTCTCAATCAATTCTTCGAAGTGCACAGTTTTTGGGGGGAACCTAAAATTTCTATTGTCGCTCACGAAAGATTAATTTTCACATACGACAGTTGGCTAAATCCCCCCCCCCCCCCCGGAATTATTTCCTGAGATGCTGTTTTTGAAACGTGCATAGCTTTTTCATACGACAACCAATTGGTCTCAGATTTTGCATACGCTTGTCTTTAGTGGTGCCAAGTTAAACTTTAGAAAATGGGAGGGAGGGGGGTGTAAACATATGTTTTACCCCTTCATGATATTCTAATGAAAGGTCTCATCGAAATAAATTGATTTGTACAAACTGTAACTTTCCCGTGTGACTCAATTTTCGAGATCAGTGAGCGACGGGACCTGAGGGGGGGGGGGGGGTTAAAAATTAATTTTATCTCTCATTGTATTCTAATTCTAATTAAAGGTCTCAACGAAAGGGACCGTTTTCTACCAACTACTGCCCTTCTTTCTGTCCTCTTATCAAAGTACAAGATAGAGGGGGGGGGGGGGAGTGGAACTAGTTTTATCCTCGACTGCTTATCGTGATCCGGTATATTCCCTTGTACCTCAAGAATGGATTGTCGGAAGAGGGTAGATTGAGACGTCTGCAAGAAATATCCAATGGTGCGATGAAATTTGCGAGTACAAATTACTCTTTATCAGTTCCAAATTCAAGACATTACACAAGGATTATTTTTATTTATCATCAGGCCTTTGTTTCCGAATATTTATCTGGACGTACTCGGATTATACACGGATTAACTGGATCTCGTAGATGTCCTTCGTTCAAAGTTAGTTGACGGCAAAATTTTGGGAGTATGTGGGATTGAGCCATTTCCCACTAAAACCAAGATCCCTCATGGCCACCTGTCTACCATAAGCGCCACCAGATTATCTGTAGCTGGTCCTGAAGAACCTGCTGTATGTGAGAATCTATGGTTTAGAGTATTTCCCAATTAGTGAAGACGTCCCACAGGGCTCTATACTGGGACCAGTATTGTTTCTCTTATAAATCAACGACATCGTGAAGGTTTTTCTTATAGAATGTGGCCTCTGTAGAATCCATAATTTCAAACAGTTCCAAGATTGGGCTACTAGTTCAAAAGTTACAGCCCTTTGAATTTTTTTCTAGTCTATAACTTTTGATTGAGAAGTCTAATCGAAAAAGTACGAATTGTTTTGGATTCTATGCACCAAAATTAATAAGAAAAACTGTTTTCCCGAGAAATTTTGGTGCAGTCGATTTTTGGTAAAAAAGGAAGGTTATACACTGCCTTTTTTGGGACCCGAAAAAAAAATTGTCTCAGATCGATCTGGAAAAAAAATTTCTGATAGAATGTGGCCTGTAGAATCCATAATTTCAAGCAGTTCCAAGATTGGGCTACTAGTTCAAAAGTTACAGCCCTTTGAATTTTTTTTCGAAATTGGTTTCTAGTCTATAACTTTGGATTGAGAAGTCTGATCGAAAAAGTACGAATTGTTTTGGATTCTACGCACCAAAATTAATAAGAAAAAGTGTTTTCCCGAGAAATTTTGGTGCAGTCGATTTTTGGTAAAAAAGGAAGGTTTATACACTGCCTTTTTTTGAGGCCCGAAAAAAAAATTGTCTCAGATCGACCCGGAAAAAATTTTTCTTATAGAATGTGGCCTGTAGAATCCATAATTTCAAACAGTTCCAAGATTGGGCTTCTAGTTCAAAAGTTACAGCCCTTTGAATTTTCTTTCGAAATTGGTTTCTAGTCTATAACTTTTGATTGAGAAGTCTGATCGAAAAAGTACGAATTGTTTTGGATTCTACGCTCCAAAATTAATAAGAAAAAGTGTTTTCCCGAGAAATTTTGGTGTAGTCGATTTTTGGTAAAAAAGGAAGGTTATACACTGCCTTTTTTTGAGGCCCGCAAAAATAATTGTCTCAGATCGACCCGGAAAAAAATTTTCTTATAGAATGTGGCCTGTGGAATCCATAATTTCAAACAGTTCCAAGATTGGGCTACTAGTTCAAAAGTTACGGCCCTTTGAATTTTTTTTCGAAATTGGTTTCTAGTCTATAACTTTTGATTGAGAAGTCTAATCGAAAAAGTACGAATTGTTTTGGATTCTACGCACCAAAATTAATAAGAAAATGTGTTTTCCCGAGAAATATTGGTGCAGTCGATTTTTGATAAAAAAGGAAGGTTATACACTGCCTTTTTTGAGGCCCGAAAAAAAAATTGCTCAACGAAAGGAATTAATTTCTACCAACCATAGCCCTCCTCCTCGACCCCTTATCGTGACCGGGTACATTTCCTTATACCTCAAGAATGGATTGTCGGAAAAGGGTAGATTGAGACGTCTGCAAGAAATATACATTGGTGCGATGAAATTTGAATTGCCACGTAAATTTTAACAGGAAATTAGCGAGGTTTGTAATGAAAAATGCCAAAACAGAGGTCAAAACGAATAGAACCACCGCACAACTCGAGAAACTTATGATTGCGAGTACAAATTACTCTTTATCAGTTCCAAATTCAAGACACTACACAAGGATTACTTTTATTTATCATCAGGCTTTTGTTTCCGAATATTTATCTGGACGTAATCGGATTATACCTTGACACGGATTAACTGGATCTCGTAGATGTCCTTCGTTAGTTGAAGGCAAAATTTTGGGAGTATGTGGGACTGAACCATTTTCCACTAAAACCAAGATCTCTCGTGGCCACCTATCTACCATAAGCGCCACCAGATTATCTGTAGCTGGTCCTGAAGAACCTGCTGTATGTGAGAATCTATGGTTTAGAGTATTTCACAATTAGCGAAGACGTCCCACAGGGCTTTATACTGGGACCAGTATTGTTTTTCTTATAAATCAACGACATCGTGAAGGTGCTATAGCGATTCTGTACTGACCTTTATTAAGCAATTGTGCAAGCTCTATTATTTCATTGACAGAATAATGCCATGCCTTTATTGTAATAGAATGAAGCTGATGCTTCAATACAAATTTTGCTGCATTACGCTCTTCGACTAAGTAAAAAGACAATATTTTAAGAAATGAGAACATCCGGTTTTTTGTATTTTAATTACGGCAACGCAATTCTCATGCCAATAAAATAATTACGAATAAATTTGATTAAGGTTATTAACAAGACTGCGGCATATTTTAAATTCCATTCCCTAAAAGTAAAAATGTTATTTTGGACGCGGTGGTCCATTTCGTTCACCTAGGAGTACAGTTACTGGCACAATTAAATGGCCATCGACTACCCATAGCCATTTCGCCATTGCGATGAAGGATCATTTCGTACCGTGAACAAATTTCAATTCAAGCATTGATATCGCGTCAAGGGCCTATTAATCTATTATTTATTTGATTAAACCGCACAGTTCATCGGAAAAACCGTTTGGTGTGCAAACAAGTGCGAAAATTAACATAGCGTGATCGCGCGTTGCAGGGGTGCTCACCCTTAAACTCATTTAGCATAAAATCACGCCCCACTCACGGGAAAAGTTTTCTAACTCAACTTTCATTGATAAGAGCACACGAAACGATAAGAAAAAATGCAACTTTTACAATGAACTAAAATTAAGAAAGCGTCGGGTAAAACTCACCCTAAAATTTATAGACACTTTCACGTGACACAATCGCGCGAAGTGCGAATACTTTACACCCCAATACGATAATAAAATGTGCCCTAAACGCTGCACGAAGTTTACGTACGAGCGGCTTCTGCGCGTGATTTGACGAAAACGTTCTTGGTAGACCATTCATTATGTCACACCGTTAGGGGACGCATGCGTGTGTTTTTTTCTACATTAAAAATCGATTCTATTTAAATACCAAGGATTTCGGACGAGATCGTGGTTGGGATGGGGAAAGTAAGGAGCAGATGCAGCCAAACAAGAGATTGACGTAGACGTTTAAAAGTATGCCAACGGTCGTGATGTACCTATTTTATTTCCCGCATTGTAAGACGTCAGTGTATATTTTCTCATTCAGAGAACGTGCTTCCAGCTTTTATACATGGCGATACCACATAATTTACTAAACACCAGTCAATTCCTTTGTTGCGATATAATCAAACAATCATACTCACCCCCACCCGAAATCGAGCTGGACCACTGCAATTATAAGAGACACAAGGAGTACCTCTACCTTGAATTCGGCTACATATAGCTACCCTAAGCTGGGTTAACGAGAACCGAGGATCTTCTCACGTCTAGGTACCCATATGCCATTCCGTACCCCCCTGTACAATCCCTACCCTCATGTGTGGAGTTAAACGAGGGCCTGCAAGCCTTTTTTTTAACCAAAAATCGACTACTCCAAAATTTCTCGGGAAAACACTTCTCAATCAAAAGTTATAGACTAGAAACCAATTTCGAAAGAAAATTCAAAGGGCTGTAACTTTTGGAAAGAAAATTCAAAGGGCTGTAACTTTTGAACTAGTAGCCCAATCTTGGAACTGTTTGAAATTATGGATTCTACAGGCCACATTCTATAAGAAAATTTTTTTCCGGGTCGATCTGAGACAATTTTTTTTTCGGGGCCCAAAAAAAGGCAGTGTATAACCTTCCTTTTTTACCAAAAATCGACTACACCAAAATTTCTCGGGAAAACACTTTTTCTTATTAATTTTGGTGCGTAGAATCCAAAACAATTCGTACTTTTTCGATCAGACTTCTCAATCAAAAGTTATAGACTAGAAACCAATTTCGAAAGAAAATTCAAAGGGCTGTAACTTTTGAACTAGTAGCCCAATCTTGGAACTGTTTGAAATTATGGATTCTACAGGCCACATTCTATAAGAAAATTTTTTTCCCGGATCGATCTGAGACAATTTTTTTTTCGGGGCCCAAAAAAAGGCAGTGTTTTACCTTCCTTTTTTTACCAAAAATCGACTGCACCAAAATTTCTCGGGAAAACACTTTTTCTTATTAATTTTGGTGCGTAGAATCCAAAACAATTCGTACTTTTTCGATCAGACTTCTCAATCAAAAGTTATAGACTAGAAAACAATTTCGAAAGAAAATTCAAAGGGCTGTAACTTTTGAACTAGTAGCCCAATCTTGGAACTGTTTGAAATTATGGATTCTACAGGCCACATTCTATAAGAAAATTTTTTCCGGGTCGATCTGACATAATTTTTTTTCGGGGCTCAAAAAAAGGCAGTGTACAACCTTCCTTTTTTACAAAAAATCGACTGCACCAAAATTTCTCGGGAAAACACTTTTTCTTATTAATTTTGGTGCGTAGAATCCAAAACAATTCGTACTTTTTCGATCAGATTTCTCAATCAAAAGTTATAGACTAGAAACCAATTTCGAAAAAAAATTCAAAGGGCTGTAACTTTTGAACTAGTAGCCCAATCTTGGAACTCTTTGAAATTATGGATTCTACAGGCCACATTCTATAAGAAATTTTTTTTTCCGGATCGATCTGAGACAATTTTTTTTTCGGGCCTCAAATCTAGGCACCTTCCTTTACCTATTACCAAAAATTGACTACACCAAAATTTCTCGGGAAAACACTTTCGTATTAATTTTGGTGCGTAGAATGCAAAACGAATCGTACTTTTTCAATTAGACCTCTCAATCAAAAGTGAAGGACAAAAATCCAATTTCGAAAAAAACGTACAAAAAACGAAGATGATGAGATTCGGACAGGGGGGTGGAAGGAAAAAGGTGATGGAATGGCAATGGGGAGAAAAGAGGACAAAATAGAACAGGTAAGAGAAGTTCAATATTTAGGGTACCGAATGCAAAGAAATAGTGGGGCAGATGCGCAAATTAGAGAACTAAGGAAAAGGGGGTGGTGGACATGAGACCGGGGTGGGGAATGGGTATGATGCAACGATGAGACGAAACTGAGATAATGGTACGTGGAAGGAATGGGATGAATTGGAAAGAACACAAAGAAGATACTATAAATGGGCGTTGGGGCAAAACGGAAGGACACCGAATTGTATATTAGAAGAGGAAAGAAAAATGGAGTCGAGACGTAGGGCGGCAAGGTTCGAGGAACGGAGTGAAAGAGAAAGCTATTGGGTAAAAGAATGCTTGACAACTGGGATGAACGCTAGAGGAATGTGGGAGGAATAAAGAGAAGAATATTATGAAAGAAATGGATACGAATAGTCCGATGTCGAAAGGAGGAGAGGGATGGAAAACGAGCCGGGAAAAAGGGACCTGGATGTACAATAACAGAGGGTGAATATAGTAGTTACAAGGATCTAATAAGGGATTGGTTACCAAAATTGTTCTGAGAGGGAATGAACAATTAAAATAATGGCGATTAACCGAATTTTTGTGTGATCTCGAATTGGTTTTGCATCGAGTTACAGTTTGTCTCATATTGGAGGCTATAAATTGAACTTAAAGTTAGTTTTCCTCAGAGTTGCCAACGGTTAAGTATAGGGTAAGTCAAATTTGCAGCGGCGGATGGGGGACCCCTCAGATTACAACATGCACCAGAAAAACAGCAAATCGCCGCCAAGGTGACTATTCAAAACTACAATAATGGTTCGTGGAACGAGTACGTCGAGAAAACCGTGACTCGATGCGGAGACTTCTACCCAATCGGTCGTGTGTCGGCATCCTGAGATACCTTCACGGTCATCGCTATGACGCGGAGACCTTTTCGTTGAAACGCCGCGCTAGAACTTCACCCCTTACCGTGTCCGTGACAAGTAGCACAAGCGACAAATCGGTAAGGCTGGCACGGTTTCGATACCGGAGAGAGATTCAAGCACCTCGGATTTGCAGGACTGCAAATCCCTCCACCCTTATCCACATTCATCTTGCACCACCATCTTCACCCTATTTGGAGAGAAGACCATAGACATATGAGAGTAATATGTCTATGGAGGAGACGCCTGCCAACTTTTTCATCAATAAAGGCCGTATTAGACGATGTAATTTTTATTCCAATCCTTGCAGCAACTATTGCTGCTATTATTGCAGCAATTATTGCAAAAAGATGCAATGATTACACTATGCAATTTATTTGGCAATTTTTTTATACCCAATTCTAATCATGTATTGGTGCCAATGAAAGTGGAATTGGCATCACTGGGAAATACTTGAAAGCAACTTCACGTCTGTTGTAGACCAGGAAACGTGTGTTTTGTGACGTTTCCTTTGTTGAAGGCCGTGCAATTTATTATTTATATTTGCACGCACTTATTCACACTCAGGTTCGTTAAATTCATTGAGTAGGTTTAGGTTTCCCTTTGTGAAATCGTTATTGGCAAGCCACTGCCTGGTCCAAAAACGTCGTCGTCTTCTTTGTTTCTTTTTTTTTAAAAGAGCAACAGCAGACGCAATAACTAAAGATGCGGCAGCAATATCCATTTTTGAATTCCTCGTAAATAGGTTATTTCAGTTTTAACTTTAAATAACAAACCTGTATATAGCATAAGGAGGTAATGTTCTCCAGTGCATACCACTTTATTTTTTTTATAAATTAAATGTTACTAAAATAGTTACTAAATTGCTAAATTGCAAGAAAAATAGCACAAGTTCTATAACCAGAAAATTGCAGAATGTCTTGCTGCAATATTTGGCGCAAGAAATTGCACGTGCAATTTTAACATACACGGAGCAATTTTTCGTGCAATTTCTTGCGGCAATGAATTGCTGCAAAAATTGCAATAAAAATTGCATCGTCTAATACGGCCTTAAGTCACATGCAAATCTATTATGGTGCACCCTGTATGCCGAATTAGTGTGGCGCCATCTACACGACACACTTCCAACTGCTGTAAGTTTGAAAAAGGGTGTATTCTATGGTTGGACACATTAAATAATTAGAAGTCCACCTCGAATGGTGGGTGGAGAATCTGTTCCTTGATTGTGGGTGAATTAAATTTGAATGTTCTTGGAGATTATTCACAAATGCATACTCGGAAAATGCTCTCAAGTTTGTAATTACTAGAGAACTTATAAAGGCGAAGGTTTGTCACTTAAAAATACCCCCCTTTTCTCTGTTATTGATTTCCTGTAACCTCCCCTAATTGAACACTATTTACAGGTAAAATGTCAGCAGCAGGGACTCCTTCAGCCGACCCATGGGTCATAGTTAGTCGGGAAAGAAGTAGGTACGAAGATCAATTCAGAGGCTTAAAACCGATCGACGGAATTATTACCGGCGAACAGGCCAAAGGCTTCCTGCTACAATCGCAGCTACCCCCCGCGACTCTCGGCCAGATATGGTAAATCTCAGATTACGTGTACCATAACCGACACGCTACTTTTAGGGCGCTGGCCGACACAAATGCAGACGGTAAAATGGACATTAACGAATTCTCGATCGCGTGCAAACTCATAAATCTGAAACTGCGCGGATTCGAAATCCCGAAAGTTCTCCCGCCAACTCTAATCGCCTCGCTGCGGATGCACAACCCGCCCGCCATACCGCCGCTACCCGCCGTGCCATCCGTACAGCAGCCTCCCTTGATTCCCCTCAACCAAATCCCCCCAACTGTCATTCCAACAGGAATCGTGCCTCCGATGCAAAGCGGTCTGCCCGCCACCCAAAGCTTCGTACAGCCGGCGGTGGCTCAGCCCCTGGTAAATTTTGGAGCCCCCTTAATAGCTCCCCCGATCGTCGCGCCGTTAATCGCGACTGCACCCTCCCCTCCGTTAGTAGCCAGTGTTAATCTACCTCTCGGCGGAAGTGTAATTCCGCCAGCGGTACCTGGAGCGCCGATTTTACCTTCAGCTCCGAGTTCTGTACATAGCAATACTAGTACACCGAGAGCTAGTATTACTAGTATGGATCGTGCAGCTTCAATAGACTCACCGTAAGTACGATTTTAGAATTCCGAAATCAATACAGGGTGTTTCAATTAAAAAAATTAATTTTTTTGTCCTCGTACCACAAATTTGGAACACCCTGTATATAAAAAAACGTGAAATTTGAAAGTTGGAACCGAATACAGGATGTTCCAATCAAAAACTTAATTTTTTGTCCTTGTACTACAAATTTGGAACACCCTGTATGTAAAAGACGTGCAATTTAGAGTTAGAATTCTATAACCAAATACAGGGTGTTTCATATGAAAATGAATTTTTTGTCCACATACTACAAATTTGGAACACCCTGTATGTAAAAAAGACGTGAAATTAAAAGTAGAGCTAGAATTCTAGAACCAAATACAGGGTGTTTTATTTAAAAAAAAAGTAATTTTTTGTCTTTGCACTACAAATTTGGAACACCCTGTGTAAAAAGACGTTAAAATTATAGTAGGGAAGAACCAAATGCAGTGTTTCATTAAAAAAATTTTTTTCCCTTTTTACTACAAATATGAAACACCATGTATATAAAAACGATGTGAAATTTAAAGTACAGTTAGAATTCTAAAACCAAATACAGGGTGTTTCATTTAAAATAATTGATTTTTTCTCCATACACTACAAATTTGGAACACCCTGTATCTAAAAAAGACGTGAAATTTCATTTATTCATTATATATTATTATTATTACATATAGTGGGATCAAGATTTTGGAAATCCATTTGCGTAATTTTATTTTCTCCATGAATTTCCTGGAAAATGGAAAATTTTTCCGCGCGATTAGGGCGTTGTACGCGGGTGCACCATTTTGTTGGAACCAGCAGTTTTCATCTTTTGTTTTTTTTGGCGCTACCCTGTATATTATTGCACTATTCATAATCGAACACTGTTAACTTGATCTTTGTGGTTTTTAGGTAAGGATAAATTTTAATATTGCCGTAGCTGTATAGTTATATACAGGGTGTACCATTTATTGGAATCAAGATTTCAAAAATCCTTTTTCTTGATTTTATTTTCTGTATGAATTTCCTGGAAAATGAAAAATTTTTCCGATAGGTACTCTCGCGCGATTAGAGCGTTGAGTGTGTACCATCTAGTGGAAACCAACTGTTTCCGATTTTTGTTTTTATTTGGCGTCACCCTGTATATCATTACACTATTCATAATCGAACACTGCTAACGTTGTTTTAAGGTGAGTATAAATGAAATTAAAGAAATTTTAATATTGCCGTAGGTGTATAGTTATATACAGGGTGTACCATTTATTGGAATCAAGATTTCAGAAATCCTTTTGCTTGATTATACCTTCTCTGTGAATTTCTTGGAACATTTTTCCGGTAAATATTTTTACGCGCCTAGGGCATTGTGCGCAGGTGCATCATCTTGTTGCAACCAACAGTTTCCGATTTTTGTTTTTTTTTGTGTCATCCTGTATATTATTATACTGTTCACAATCGAACACTGATAGCTTGATCTTTGTTGTTTTTAGATAAAGATAAATTTTAATATTGCAGTAGTTGTATAGTTATATACAGGGTGTACCATTTATTGGAATCAATATTTCAAACATCCTTTTTCTTGATTTTATTTTCTGTATGAATTTCCTGGAAAATGGAAAATTTTTCCGATAGGTACTCTCGCGCGATTAGACCGTTGAGTGTGTACCATCTAGTGGAAACCAACTGTTTCCGATTTTTTTTTTTGGCGTCACCCTGTATATCATTACACTATTCATAATCGAACACTGCTAACGTTGTTTTAAGGTGAGTATAAATGAAATTAAAGAAATTGCTGTATAGTTATATACAGGGTGTACCATTTATTGGAATCAAGATTTCAGAAATCCTTTTGCTTGATTATACCTTCTGTGTGAATTTCCTGGCACATTTTTCCGGTAAATATTTTTACGCGCCTAGGGCATTGTGCGCAGGTGCATTATCTTGTTGCAACCAATAATTTCCGATTTTTGTTTTTTTTGTGTCACCCTGTATATTGTTATACTATTCACAATCGAACACTGACAACTTGATCTTTGTTGTCTTTAGGTAAGGATAAATTTTAATATTGCCGTAGCTGTATAGTTATATACAGGGTGTACAATTTATTGGAATCAATATTGGAAAATTTTTTCGATAGGTATTCTCGCGCCATTAGGGCGTTGTGCGCGGTTGCACCATTTAGTTGAAGTTTCCAACTTTTTTTACGTCATCCTGTATATTAGTACACTATTCATAATCGAATACGGCTGAATTGCGCAAATCTTCCCCAATTTAACCATCGTCGCATCTTCTATGGTTTTCGAGATCGACATTTTTATCTTGGACACCGTGTATATATAATTTTGTTTCATTTGCAGACTCGTCGACTGGTCAGTTCCGCATCAAACAAAATTAAAGTACACGCAAATTTTTAACACGACCGATAGATCGCGCAGTGGCTACTTGTCGGGCGTACAAGCTAGAAACGTGATGGTGCACACGAAGTTGTCCCAAAACATACTCGCCCAAATATGGTAACCGAAACCAATCTGATTTTTACAAGCTAAAGATCCGCTTGTAGGGCCTTGTCCGATATGGACTCGGACGGACGTTTGGGCTGCGAGGAATTCGTCCTGGCGATGCACCTCTGCGAGCAGGCGCTGCAAGGCGTACAGCCTCCCGTTACACTACCCCCCGACCTGATCCCGCCCTCGTTCAGACGGGGCGCGAGGACAAACTCCGTTTCGAGCCAGGGCAGCGGTCACGTGGAGCAGGATCCCGCGTCGACGCTACCGACGAGTATGGCGAAGGTGACACGAACGTAGGTAGGTTTTCACGGGCGGTTTTTTTTCAGCGACCTTCGAGGACAAACGCAAGGAGAACTTCGAGAAGGGGCAGGCGGAATTGGACCGGAGGCGGAAGATGCTGCTGGATCAGCAGAGAAAGGAGGCGGAGGAGAGGGAGAGAAAGGAGAGGGAGGAGATCGAGAGGCGCGAGAAGGCGAGGCAGGAGGCGGAACGACGTCGGATGGACGAACTCGAAAAGCAGATGAGGGAGCAGCAGGAGCAGGAGAGGATGAAGGAGGAGGAGAGGAAGCGGCAGGCCGAACAACGAGAGGCGGCGAGAAGGTATCTACACAATTATTCCACTCATGCTACCGGGATCACTAGATTCATCTTGTGTTTAGGGTCTTTTTACTTTTGCAACGACTTTCGCCTATTTATTAAAGAACTCGCGCATTTTATCATTTGTTTATACATCTAATTTGTTATGTTGAAATTTTACGCCGCACAATAAGATTGTGTTATCGTCCGTCAGACTGGCACTGATAAGAAAATATGGTATATACGAAACCTGAAGATGTTTTTTTACAAATTTGCTAAAATGGCGCTAACGTGGAGGAGACGAGAATATGTGAAAAAGAAAATCCCTCGAGCGGTGCCCCCCTCCCTTCTGCGGCACCCTCACTTTTGTGTTTTTCAACAAAAAATTACTTTGGAGGACAAACGAGAACAGCTTCGAGGACGCCACCTCGGTAAGGCACGTCTAACGAGGTTAAGGTAAAAATTTTTATTAACTCCTGGGGGGGGTGTACAGGGTGGCCAACTAAGAATGCGAGGTACTGTATCTGAGAATCTATCCATCGTAGAGGCTTGCGGTAAAAAAATTTATTACTGAAACGGCCACGAGAAAAACCTGGAAATTATTTTTAAGTTTCTGAAATGACCGCTAGGGGGCGTAACTGCAATCTGGAATCTAAATAAGTGATGTTTCTGTGAATTCCGCTATATTAACCTAACAAAAAAGTGCCCGGTCTTTGAAGTTGACGATAATCTGAACAATTTTTGTTTGACAATTTTGCCTGTATCTCTAAAAATGAAGTGGCGGGGGGTATTCAAAGGTTTCCGTAAAGAACAGCCTGTATCTTCGAAACGGCTGAGCCGATTTAAACAAACTCGGGTTAGTTCAAAAGACCTGTTCTTCAGCTACAAATATTATACTATTTTTGTTAGTTTCACATATCACCGCATGAGGGCTTTTTTCGACATTCCGACAGAAATGGTTAATTTTCTCAAAAAAATTAAATGCATTGGTTCGATTTTTTTTTCATGAAAAAGTAGCTAAATGATGCCTAAACAAATTTGCGAAAACAGCATCTCGATATCTTGAGAGAGAGAGAGATAAAAATAATTCCGGAAAAATTATCTTAAAAACAACATTTTGAGGGTATAAAACCTTCTTTGGCCTAAATTTTAGGTTAGGAACAAGATATCGAGATGCGATCTTCGCGAGCTTGTTTAGGCATCATTTAGCTACTTTTTTATGAAAAAAAAATCGAACCAACGCATTTAATTTTTTTGAGAAAATTAATCATTTCTGTCGGAATGTCGAAAAACGCCCTCAAGCGGCGACATGTGAAACTAACAAAACTTCAAATATTATAATATTTGTAGCCGAAGAATAACACTTTTCAATTAACCCGAGTTTGTTAAAATCAGGTCAGTCGTTTCGAAGATACAGGGTGTTCTTTACGGAAACCTTTGAATACCCCCCACCACTTCATTTTTAGAGATACAGGAAAAATTGTCAAACAAAAAAGGTTCAGATTATTGTCGTCTTCAAAGACCGGACATTTTTTTTGTTAGGTTAATATAGCGGAATTTACAGAAAAATCACTTTTTTAGATTCCAGATTGCAATTACGCCCCCTAGCGGCCATTTCAGAATCTTAAAAATATTTTCCAGGTTTTTCTCGTGGCCGTTTTAGTAAAAAATTTTTTTACCGCAAGCTTCTACGATGGACAGGTTCCCAGATACAGTACCTCGCATTCTTATTTGGCTACCCGGTACAATGCGCAAAATCTTTCGAGAAAAAAGGCACTTTTCGGGGGTTAAACCGATTTTCCCGGGAGCAAATAGAAAACGACGATGTGTGGGGGGGGGTTGAGTAAATTATTATTTTAGAGACCACCTCTGTTACATATGTTTACCATCTCGACACTACGGTCGCAAGTGCTTTAAATCACAATCGATATGAAAACGAAAAAAAATGTTTTTGAATTTTTGCAATGCACTCTTATGAACCATAACAAATCGCATTCTTATATTAAAGGGAAATGGAGCGGCAGCGACAATTAGAATGGGAAAAACAACGTTCACAGGAATTGCAGCAGCAACGCCAGCGAGAACAGGAAGCGGTCCTTAAACTGAAAGCGAAGAACCAAAGTTTAACCATCGAGTTGTCATCGTTGAACGAGAACATCAAGGAACTATCGCAGAAGATATGCGACACTCGCGTGGGAGTATCGAACGTCAAGACAACCATCGACGGCATGCGATCGACCCGAGATGCCCAAATGCAAGAGATGTCCCAACTGAAGAACAAGCTCAAGGAGCAGAACGCGAAACTGCTCGCGCTCTCGCAGGAGAAGGTGAAACTGGACGCGAAGAATAAGCTGAACCAATCGGGCGACGCGGATCAGAAGCAGGCGTTCGACAACAAGGAGATAACGATCAAGAATTTGAGGGAGAAGGTCGAGGACCTGCAGTCGCAGATCGACGGCAAGATGAACGACATCGAGAACAATAACTCGCAGCTGAACGATCTTCGCACGCAGCTCGCCCAACTTTTGGGCGAATGCGAGAAGCTGTACCAGATTTACGAGCAGAAACGCGACACCGTGCTGGAGATGAAGAGCGCGGGCAAATCGAATTTCAATACCGCGTGGAAGACGGAAAGCGACTGGGGCACGGAGAGCGCGACCGATTGGCCCGTTGACAATTGGGCGACGGGCGCTCCTGCGGCGGCGCCGAACGACGGCGAGGTTATACTCGCCGCCGCGGTTAAATATCGCGCGCTGTACGAGTTCGTCGCGAGAAATTCGGACGAAATATCATTTCAACCCGGTGATATTATTAATGTAAGATTTTTTAGGTGGGGGGTATCCGTTTTTAGCGTTCTTTTGGTTTAGGTACCGATTGAGCAGACGGGAGAGCCTGGTTGGTTAGCGGGCGAAATTAAGGGACATACAGGTTGGTTTCCGGAATCGTACGTTGAGCCAATGGATGGTGTCGGCGTGGGGAGTAGAGTTTCGCAGGCGGAAGCTCAACCTGTGGTGGAGGAAATTGAGCCTAAGCGTTTAGAGTAAGTAATCGTTACATGAAAACTCAGAAAATCTTAATCGATCATCGAAAAAAAAATGATTAAAAAATTCAATTTTTGAAATTTTTTGAATATTTTTGTTTTTTAATTTTTCCTTTTCTCGTAATCTGTTTCCAATGTTCTGCAATTTTTCGAATTTTTTTAATTTTCGATGTTCTACCTTTTTGCAATTTTTATTAATTTTTGAAATTTTCTTAATTTTTTTTGAATTTTCGAAATTTTTGCATTTTAAATTTTGATTAAATCCGGTGATTGCCAACCGGAATTGATTTTACAGAGGCATAGCCGAGATACCCGAAACGGGAATTGACAATAGCGAACCGCCGCCTGAAATTTCGGAGCCGGTGGCAGTTCAACCGACCGCAGTCGAGGAAATAGTCGAACACTGTATCGCGAGCTACCCCTACCAGTCGGTCGAACAGGGCGATCTCAGTTTCAACGCCGGCGACATCATCGCCGTCGTGAAAAAGGAAGGGGACTGGTGGACCGGTAAGGTCGGCAACAACGTCGGTATATTTCCCTGCAATTACGTACAGAAATACGATCCTGACGTGAGTAACCCTTAAACGCGCCCCTATTTTGCTCACGGCTCGCACTCTTAGAATCCTCCCGCCCCTCCGGCCGTAACTTCGGTTCCTACCGAAATCGCGCCCGCTGCGGTTACCACCCCCACCGACTGTAGCGCCTCCCAATTCGACAACGAGGTGTCACAAATTATTGAAAGCAAATCCGAAAAGTCGCCCGACTACCCCAGCTCGAACACGCAAGTATGATATCCCCCCCCCCCCACTTTTTTTTCGTTTCAATGGCGACATCTTGTCGTAGACAATGAAGAGTACCAAGAAGCCGGAAATAGCGTCGGTCATCGCTCCGTATCAATCTTCCAGTCCCGAACAGTTGTCCTTGCAAAGAGGGCAGCTGATCATGATTAGGAAGAAGACCGATTCCGGCTGGTGGGAGGGCGAGCTGCAGGCGAAAGGTCGAAAGCGACAGGTCGGCTGGTTTCCGGCGAGTTACGTTAAAATTTTAAACAGCAGCGGAAGAACGAGCGGTCGCAGCACGCCCGTTTCCACAACGAGGATACAACAGGAAGTCGTTATAGGTTTGTACGAAGCATGGATTACCAAGATCGAGACGTAATTCACTGTTGATCCAGAAGAAATGTTGGTTTTGCGCATGCGCACACCGAAGTTTTGATGTTGTTACACCTCCTCACATATTATAACCTCCTGATACCAAATTGGAAAAGTTTTAAAACGAAATTTGGCTTCGAAATATTTTTGTGGGTGATGGGAAAAGACCTCCTCGACTATTATGTTCTCCTGGTAGCCGGACAAAATTTTAAAAGAATTTTCTGATTGTCCCCTCGTGTATTAGGAGCTGAAACACCTCCTCGCACATTATAACCTCCTGATACCAAATTGGAAAAGATTTAAAACGAAATTTGGCTTCGAAATATTTTTGCGGGTGATGGGAAAAGACCTCCTCGACTATTATGTTCTCCTGGTAGCCAGACAAAATTTTAAAAGAGTTTCCTGATTGTCCCCTCGCGTATTAGGAGCTGAAACATCTCCTCGCACATTATAACCTCCTGATACCAAATTGGAAAAGATTTAAAACGAAATTTGACTTCGAAATATTTTTGTGGGTGATGGGAAAAGACCTCCTCGACTATTATGTTCTCCTGGTAGCCAGACAAAATTTTAAAAGAGTTTCCTGATTGTTCCCTCGTGTATTAGGAGCTGAAACACCTCGCACATTATAACCTCCTGATACCAAATTGGAAAAGTTTTAAAACGAAATTTGGCTTCGAAATATTTTTGTGGGTGATGGGAAAAGACCTCCTCGACTATTATGTTCTCCTGGTAGCCAGACAAAATTTTAAAAGACTTTTCTGATTGTCCCCTTGTGTATTAGGAGCTTAAACACCTCCTTGCACATTATTTATTTATTTATTTATTTATTGAAATAAACAGGCCTGAGCCTAGTTACATATTTCCCTTACACATAAATGAGACGAAAACGTGTTTTGTGTGGATGCGCGTAACCTCCTTCGCACATTATAACCTCCTGATACCAAATTGGAAAAGAGTTAAAACGAAATTTGGCTTCGAAATATTTTTGTGGGTGATGGGAAAATACCTTCTCGACTATTATGTTCTCCTGGTAGCCAGACAAAATTTTAAAAGAATTTTCTGATTGTCCCCTTGTGTATTAGGAGCTTAAACACCTCCTCGCACATTATAACCTCCTGATACCAAATTGGAAAAGATTTAAAACGAAAATTTGGCTTCGAAATATTTTTGTGGGTGATGGGAAAAGACCTCCTCGACTATTATGTTCTCCGGGTAGCCAGACAAAATTTTACAATAATTTTCTGAATGGCACTTCGTGTATTAGGAGCTGAAATACCTCCTCGAACATTATAACCTCCTGATACAAATTTGGTGAAGTCGATTTTTGCTAAAAAAAGGAACGTAATACCCTGCCTTTTTTTGGGCCCCAAAAAAAATTGTCTCAGATCGACCCGGAAAAAAAATTTTCTTATAGAATGTGGCCTGTAGAATCCATATTTTCAAACAGTTCCAAGATTGGGCTACTAGTTCAAAAGTTACAGCCCTTTGAATTTTTTTTCGAAATTGGTTTCTAGTCTATAACTTTTGATTGAGAAGTAATCGAAAAAGTACGAATTGTTTTGGATTCTACACACCAAAATTAAAAAAGATTTAAAACGAAATTTGGCTTCGAAATATTTTTGTGGTTGATGGGAAAAGACCTCCTCGACTATTATGTTCTCCTGGTAGCCAGGCAAAATTTTACAATAATTTTCTGAATGGCACTTCGTGTATTAGGAGCTGAAACACCTCCTCGAACATTATAACCTCCTGATACCAAATTGGAAAAGATTTAAAACGAAATTTGACTTCGAAATATTTTTGTGGGTGATGTGAAAAGACCTCCTCGACTATTATGTTCTCCTGGTAGCCAGACAAAATTTTAAAAGAATTTAGTTAGTGTTAGTTGCGCAGTCGGAGGGTACGAACACGAGACGAACATAAAAAACCGCCTCGTTCTAATTCTGCGTTTTTGGATAAACCGCTGCCCCAATATATACCACGGTAGTGGTGGAGTGCGAGGGTTCAAAAAGGACGTCGGAGGAAAGGCATCGGCGCATTCCTCAAAACTTACGCTTAAATATTTTTTCGGCGATTATTCTGTAACTTTGAATTTCCCGCCCCCCTCTTCGTCGAAGGGTGGGAGAATGATACGCCGTCTGATGGGGGACGTTTTTGGCAGTATTTTGTCACTTTTTTTTCTCCAGGCTTTAAATTAATAGCGTTTCGTTTTGCGCAATAAGAAACACGGATCTGCGCATGCGCTTACTGGACTATTGATATCTGCCTTCGCATTTTGTTATTATTTTAGGGACGTCGTTGCGTAAGTGGGGGGTTTTTGTACCGCGCATACTCGCACTCGATTTTTGACACCCAGTATTAATTCCAACATATTTTGCGCAATAAGAAATATTGATCCGCGCATGCCCTCGGTGGACTCTTATCCGCGTTTTCTAAAACTATATTTTAGGTAAGCCCTATCAAGGAGAGCCATGGCTGCACATTCGGTTATTTTATTAGGTAGATTAACCTGATGAGAGCAATTGAGCAGAACTTCCTCAGTTTGAGAGGGAATAATTTTTTCAAGAGCGAATTACGTCTCGATCCACCTCTAAGTTTGTACTTAACCTTAAACTTTCCACATTCAGATAAAGTCGTCGCACTGTATCCGTACACAGCCGCAAACCCCGACGAGCTCAGCTTCCTAAAGGACGACATTATTAGCGTGACCGCCAGAGAAGAGCCGTCGTGGTGGCGCGGCGAACTGAACGGCGTCTCGGGATTGTTTCCCAGTAACTACGTGGCTCCATTACAGCAGTGTAAGTGTCCTTTTTTTCAATCGCTTTTATTTCGCGCGCTAAAATTTGATTGGTCGGCTGGTGCAAATATATTTTTATTGTTTTATAGGAATCTAAACGTCACCCATTCTACTAAACGAAACAAAGTGGATTCAATCTTCGGCCGCATTTTAACAAGAACGCGCTATAGAAATATTTAATCATCCAAGATCTGTCACTTGCGTAGCTTTAAGTAATCTACACACAAACTTATCATGTACTGTAACGATTATGTGATTTTAATTTTTACATAGTTTTTAATAGGCAATTTTTGGTGTGTGTTCAGTTTAGTAGGGTGGGTGCATGTCTTTTGTAGGTAAGTTTTAAAGTAATTTTTTTTTTCGATTTCAAATCGCTCTATCTTTATTTTTTTACATTTTGCACCACCCTGCTAAGCGTTCTTTGATCTTGTACTTCCTTCTTTTTAATACTATTCTCATTTAATGAGCGTGGAGAAGCCGCGGGCGGGAATCGCCAGATGACATTAGATAATTTGTTAATTTTAGGGGAGGTTTTCGATCTCATGTTAAACGGAAATACTTAATTATTGTGCAAATTGTGGTAACAAAACCTCGGGCGTGCAACCGATATCGTAGGTTGGACGCTTCCTTTTCTTTCGCTTGGCATTCTATGGCTTGTGTAGTCAGATTTGAACGTAACGCACTGTTGTATTCAACTGTTATGTAGTAATATATATTATGTTAACCTGCATCTCGTTTCAATTTCACTCGTGTTAAAGGTAGGACGAAGATGGCGACTAGAACCCAAGATGAAGGCCCATGGCAATTACGCCTAAATTTAGGTCGCTCAAGTTGCACCTTTGGTGCACAGCCCCACAACCCAAACAAGTGAATTGCCCATGGTCTGTTACCTAACGTACATCCGTGTAATTTAAAAATCACGTTGAAATTTAATTTCATTACCTTACCGTATAAGTTTTCGAGATCAGAATATCTGATGTACTGAATTTCATTGCCGAGCCGTACAAGTTTATGCAGACGGAATAAGACTGAACAAGGAGATGGGCTCAAAGGACAGTCAAGGTCGTGGGACCGTGTCCCTTCTCTCATAAAAATCATAAGAAAATTAATTTATATAATATTTTAATTTATATGTAATATTAATTTATATATAATATATAATTTAGTCATATAATCAACCAATAATGCCGATGGCGCTCGCTTTAGCGGTGAATCATGAAACTACTTGCGATATTTCAAAGAAGTCTGTGACAGTTACATGTGGCGGGGGTGGGGATGGAGGCAGACAAAAATCGCGAATTTAGACTAGTTACTAATAAAATGGCGGACGGATCCAAGATGGCGCTCAACAAAATGGTCGACCACACAATTTATTGACTGTGAGGTCACAGAGTGCTAGATCTAAAGGCGCGCCGTATCCCATTGGCCAAGGGGAGGGGCGTAGAGGATGCTCGTCTCTGATTGGCTGTGACGGCACTTCCTGGCCCACGACGAACGTTGGTCGTCTACTAGAAAAAAAAGCTTAATTGGTCAAATACATTGACCATTATACACGAACGGTGCAGTAGTCGGTGGACGATATCGTAATCTCGGGCGCTACCGGGAGATAATGAAAAAACGTGTCTGCGGTCAAGTCCGGTGTTGTAAAAATGATCTACGAAGCCACGAGCAAGTAATCTGGAGACAAACGGCCTATTCCACAGTTCGGAAGGTCGGTAACTGTCATAATGCAAGAAAACGAAACACCCTCTCCTCTCCCTTGTATAAAATTCCCAAAATGCGGAAAGGGAACATCGGCCGGCGTACTCGGGTTCAAAAATTAAAACGTCCTCGATCCCATATCATCACAAAATCCGGGATCAATCTTAAAATTCATGTTATTGTAGCGCGCTTCCAACAATACCAAACACGACCCATTTTAATAACGTTTCTTGCAACCCAATTATTTTCGTAAAGGTTACCTCCGCCAAATTTCTTTGCTTAACTACTGATCTATGTAATGTAAAAAGTCAAAATGAGATAGTCAGATTTGCCCAACAGTCAAATTTGGAGAACCCGATATTAGAATCGAAAATCCGGTTAGGTGACAGATCATTACCATGTCACGTCTTTCTATCGTGGGGTCGCACATCAAACGTGCGCTCTTAAAAAAATGGTTTGTTGCATTTTTCTGTTCCCGATCTTACATTTAGAGACATGATTCAACAATAATTTGGGGACTGGGATAACGTCCAGATAAACTGTGTTTGTGACATTCAGTTTATGAATTGCAGCCGTCGAACCTGAGGATAAAATGCGTTTAGAGTGCATAAACGAACTGATCCAAACAGAAAAATCGTACATCGACGACATGACCGTCGTGTACGAGGTCTTCGAGATTCCTTTACGCCAAAGTAAAGTCGTAAGCAACGAAGAGATTCGGGGAATATTCGTCAATTGGCAGGAAATTTTGCAGTGCAATCGCAACTTCCTGTCGGACCTGACGAACCGTCGCAGTTCCGGCAGTACCATAATAGGCGATGTGATCTGCGAGCACGTAAGTCAACTTGCGCCGATTTTTCAGCGCACTGTAATCCACTCGCAGCTACCGCTGATGACGGCCTACATCACCTTCTGCAGCCAGCAGCTCGAAAGCGCCGCGCTCCTCCAGAAACTCACCGAGACGTCGCCGGCGTTCCGAAACGTCGTCAAGCAGTGCCAGAGCAACCGATTTACGCGAGGCATGCCGCTCAGTTCCTTTCTCATCAAACCCATGCAGAGGATCACCCGATATCCGCTGCTCATAAGCAAAATTTTGGAGCACACCCCGACCACCTCGACGGGTACGCATCGATCGATCTCGTTTCCGCTGTTAATCGACTTTGTAGATCATCAATTCTTAGTCGAGGCTTTGAATTTGGCTGACGACTTTTTGAAACGCTTAAACGAGAATGTAAGACTGAAGGAGAACGAGGAAAGATTGGAGTGGCTGCAAAGTAATGTCATATTAAACGATCTTGTGATCAATTTCAATGGTGATACGAATAAACTAGGTCCCAGAAAGATTTTACACTATGGAATTCTAACCAAAGTAAGTTGCCGCCGATTCTGATGACTCCACGCTCTGAGACTTCAATCATTCTCACTCCTACCTTCTTCGCAGGTTAAAAGTGGCAAAGAGCTCGTCGGATTCTTGTTCAACGACTTTTTGCTATTAGTGCAACCGAGTAAGGCATCGGGCGCGACCCAGTTCAATTTTCAGCGCAACAGCAACGTCCTCTACAAGATCTACAAACAGGTTTGCCATCTCGCGTTTCTACTCCAACTGATATAAGTGTTGCAGCCGATACTTGTGAAAGATCTCACCGCGACGAAAGTCAGTACCGATAACGTCGAGAGCGGTACCGATGCGAACCGCGTTTTGAAAGTACAAGATAAGAAGCAGACGATCGCGCTGTTGACGTCTTCGGCGAACGAGTGCAGCTTGTGGCTGAGAAGGATAGAGGATGCGAAGAAGAAGTATCTCAAGATTGTGTCTTTCACGAAGTCGCGACCTAAATCGAGTAAGTACGGTGCGTGATTCCGCTTGCGGTGTGTGTTGCATTGTCATTGTTTTTTAAACCACTCAAAGTAGGTGTTCGAATGTATCATAAAAAAAGTACTGTAATGAAAGGGGTACTGTAACAGGAGTCATATATTATATCTACGGCTAGTTCAACTTTACTACAATTTACTCAAGCCTATTGTTTTGAAAAACTGAATCTTCTCCAATGGGGTTCTCCTTCTACAAACATTCGAAAAAATTAACCTCCATTATAAGGCTCCCGTTACAGTACCCCCTTCGTTTCCGCTAGTTTTTCAATATGACGAGCAAAAAGCCTATATCGATTGGATTAATGCTGAGAAATTTGTTAAATATAGTAGGCGTTTATCATATTAAAAAAATAGTACTGTAATGAAAGGGGTACTGTAACAGGAGCTATATATTATATCTACGGCTAGTTCAACTTTACTGCAATTTACTCAAGCCTATTGTTTTGAAGAACTGAATCTTCTCCAATGGGGGTTCTCCTTCTACAAACATTCGAAAAAATTAACCCCATTACAAGGCTCCCGTTACAGTACCCCCTTCGTTTCCGCTAGTTTTTCAATATGACAAGCAAAAAGCCTACATCGATTGGATTAATGCTGAGAAATTTGTTAAATATAGTAGGCGTTTATCATATTAAAAAAATAGTACTGTAATGAAAGGGGTGCTGTAACAGGAACCATATATTATATCTACGGCTAGTTCAACTTTACTACAATTTACTCAAACCTATTGTTTTGAAAAACTGAATCTTCTCCAATGGGGCTTCTCCTACAAACATTCGAAAAAATTAACCTCATTATAAGGCTCCCGTTACAGTACCCCCTTCGTTTTTCCATATGGCAAGCAAAAACCCTATATCGATTGGATTAATGCTGAGAAATTTGTTAAATATAGTAGGCGTTTATCATATTAAAAAAATAGTACTGTAATGAAAGGGGTACTGTAACAGGAGCCATATATTATATCTACGGCTAGTTCAACTTTACTGCAATTTACTCAAGCCTATTGTTTTGAAAAACTGAATCTTCTCCAATGGGCTTCTCCTACAAACATTCGAAAAAATTAACCCCCATTATGAGGCTCCCGTTACAGTACCCCCTTCGTTTTTCAATACGGCAAGCAAAAAGCCTATATCGATTGGATTAATGCTGAGAAATTTGTTAAATATAACGTGTGTGCGCAGCGATACAAGGTGGGGTTTCGTGTGGTCGTCTGCTGGTGCTTGTGCAGAAGGGAACTCGCTTCATTAGGGCCGGTAAGATTTTTAATTATTTCTGTTGCATGCCTAGTTTTAGTTCACAGTTCATCGCAAGCGTGGATCTCTCTAACGTTGATCGCCGGTCAAGATATTCGCACTAAGAGTTTTCATAAAAATACTAAAAAGAAAGGTACAAGGACTAATCACGTAAAATTCACCTGTAGATTGCCCTTTGTGTAACCACGTTTGTCGAACAGGTAAACTGCACACCGATAACATCTACTGCAAAGTGACCGTCAACGACCAGGAGCACCTTACCGACGTCGCGACGGACAACGTCATCAACGGCAATGTGATACAAAACGGAGTCGTACCAGCCTCCCTGCTCGTGTGGAATTACAGCATGCAGTTCTTGATTAAGAACATCAACGAAGAAGTTCTATCAATTGTCGTACTGGAGATGTGCCCATTTCAGCCCGACGGTAGATCACCGACGCCTTCATTGACTGTTAACCCAAAGTGTCTTTGCAGAGTTTCTGGGAAGGGCCGAGCTGAAGGTTTTGGATATCTATCACGAGGCGCAGAACACCAACGGACCAATCGAGAAAAAGTTGATCTTACATCAGGTCGAATCGGGCGAGCTCACTATTAAATTGGACTTGCACATGTTCACCAACGACTACTGAAATGGCACGGATTCATTTTTTTACCTAAGCTAAGTTTTATGTATTATACCGATCTAATTTAGTAGATATTCTTCGACTATTAGTGTGACAATCAGTTAGCGTTTCTAGCTTACGGTGTTATTTTCTTGAGAGGGGGTGTTTTGTGCCCGGAACGTGCTATGCCTTTCCCAAACAGAAACACGCTGACATTTGGCCATGGTCTTCGATTCCAGAGTTGTTTGTCTACCTTGGACCGGTTTTAGTGCTAGGTACAGCTGTCATTTTCAAGGATCACATTTATCTATTGTGTCAAAGCGTCATTTTTTTTGTCCTGACCCAATTGTTCTGCACATAAACGAAACTGAATTACCCGCTCGTTTAAAGTCATTAAAGAAATACTTTCCTGTAAAATTATGCCGTCGGCTAGCTCACTATAACGGAATTTTTAACGGAACTTCTCGAATAATTGATCTATTTCTCTCTCTTTGAAAAGTTTAACAATTTGGGGAGGGTCGAAGACCGGGAGGTCTTGGGGGGTACGGAATACCCCCAGCACGTGATAATTCACGTTGAGCCGCGAGCGAAGTTAAGTTGACCACCTGTAATTTATCGTTGGATGGATTTTATTTCGTGTTATTCGAACTCGGGTCAAGCAGATCACCTGTAATTTAACGACGGGTCTTTTTATATTGGTATGACACTATAGTAATCGAAAAAAGTAATATAGGCGTCATCTGCTCTTTTTGGATCGAACCAGTATACATTCCAGGAAAGAAATATTTCGTGAATCTCCCTCACGAATTGTTATTGGAATTCCGAGACTCTTTTTTCGTGGAATGTATACTGTGTGTCGTTGGGGGGTATTCCATACCCCCCCAGACCCCCTCGGTCTTAGACTCGTCCCCAAATTTTTAAACCTTCACTACTCTGGTGACCATTTTTTAAGGGAGGATATTTTTGATATTTTTTAAACGTTTCGGAGGACAACACAGCAGCAGAGGGAATTTGGGAGTGGAATACCTTTCTGGTCCACAAATTTCGATAGCCCTCCCTGAAAAATGATCGCAAGAGTGGTGAACGTTTACCAATTTGGGGAGGGTCGAAGACCGGGAGGTCTTGGGAGGTACGGAATACCCTCCAGCACGTGATAACTCACGATGAGTAGCGAGCGAAGTTAAGTTGACCACTTGTAATTTATCGATGGATGGATTTTATTTCGTGTTATTCGAACTCGGGTCAAGCAGATCACCTGTAAATTGACGACGGGTCTTTTTATATTGATATGACACTATAATAATCGAACAAAAAAGTAATATAGGCGTCATCTGCTCTTTTTGGATCAAACTAGTTTACATTTCAGGAAAGAAATATGTCGTAAATCTCCCTCACTAATTGTTATTGGAATTCCGAAACTCTTTTTTCGTGGAATCACTACTCTTGGTGATCATTTTTTAAGGGAGGACATCGAATTTTTGTTATTTTTTAAACGTTTCTGAGGACAACACATCAGCGAAGGGAATTTGGGAGTTGGACACCTTTCCGGTCCACAAATTTCGATAGCCTTCCCTGAAAAATGATCACAAGAGTGGTGAACTTTTAAAAATTTGGGGAGGGTCTAAGACCGGGAGGTCTTGGGGGTACAAAATACCCCCCAGCACGTGATAACTCACGTTGAACCGCGAGCGAAGTTAAGTTGACCACCTGTAATTTATCGTTGGATGGATTTTATTTCGTGTTATTCGAATTCGTGTCAAGCCGTTAGCGCAGTTAAGGCGATCACCTGAAATTTGACGACGGGTCTTTTTACATTGGTATGACACTTTAATTTGTCAGAATAGATGGGCTTTGCGGCGTATTTCTTACGACTTCTTAGAACGACTGGAATTGGCTCGAAAATCGACTATTGAATGCAGGCGACGGATTACGTTATGTGGTGTCATAAATTAAATTTTCGGATTTCCGTTTGCCAAAATATTGTGGCCAAGTTTATCCCGGAGGCCGGAACGTGGTCGACTGAACTGTTAGGAAAGGCCGTAGATGATCCTGGCACAAAACCACACGACATAATGCCAGCGGTGCTACTCGCCCTTGCCATATCATTGCCTTACGGAATTGATCGATTTGATCGATGGACGGTATAGCTGTCGATCGATTTGCACTGATATGTTTCCTAAATGACGTCCGTAGATATAACTTCAGCAGTTGGTGTCAGTTTTGGCAGATCGTCAACACCACTGCTCCAACTGTGTATGTCTAGGGACCGAACAAAAAAAACAAAAACGTCCACGTCTCTTATGAAAAAAGCTCATCCAAAATTTGGTTGAAAGTACAAATTTACTTTAGGATTATTCGAGTTTAGTTAAATGTAGGTGACAAATCAAAATGGCGCACGAATTTGGATTTGTTTCAGGCTTCGATAACAGTATTATTGTGTTAGACGTTACGATTGTTTGTTCTTGCCAAATCGAGTATCTACGAAGTTGCACGATAGTAGTGTTCGTATTGTAGGCAATTAGACCACTTGACGACTGCTATCGTTCAATGTTTTAATTTAGCCGTAAGAAAAAATGCTACACATTCCTATACAAGGACAAACCACGAACGAAGGCTCGAGTCGCTATTGTTACGGTCGTAGTAGGGGCGACAAAACGCGCGACCTTAATTTCAAGGTCACTCTTTTTGCCGCGACGGTCTTACTACTATTACAATATCTTATTGGCTAAGTTCTAATGCAGCTTTAATATTCCATAATAGCGTATATTGCCCAACAGTAAATAATTGTGAGTTAGTGTTAGTGTTAATTAAGAAAGATTTAAAATTGTTAATGTTGCCGAATATCTATTGTGACACAACTGGACCAGACTATGACAGCTGCCATTAGTACACATTTTGACAATAATTCGTAATTAGTGACAAAACATGGCGAAATGTGTGTAAAATTGGTACTACACTCTTTAGTTGAACGCTCTACAATTACACTCTCATTGGTAGCTTTACAATAATGTTATTTTCTATATTGCTATATTGCTCATGTTATATTATTGTAGATATAAGAAAAAAAATTAATTATTATGTAATTAAATTGTATTTGAAAAATATATTATGTAGTTGTAAAAATGTATAACTTCACGCTCCCATGATCAATACCAAGGGGTAGGGGTAACTATTCACTTCCTAGCAATAAATACTTGAATGAATAGATTCGCATGAATAGATTCGTTTAGTATCAGTGGAAGCGCGCTAATTAACCATGCGTTTTAAGACTGGTCTCCCGTTTTTTATGATAACAGGGGACCGAGAAGTTTTAATTTTCGAGCATGTTGATGTAGTTGGGCTGTGTGGATTTCCCGGCCTTTCCTCGGCCGTAATTTTGTTTTAGATTTTTCGCCACCGACTGCACGACCCCTGGAGTTTCCCGTTTTACCATCTAACTGCCCGTGGCTTACGGAAATCAGCGACCGTACAGCCGACCCTGACCAGGAGCAAGGCAGCGATCTCCTGGTGGCGCGCGAGATGAACCGTACCGTTCCAACGAGACAGTCGTGCCCACTACCGAAGTATTTCAAATTAATTTCATTCAATTGCAGTTATTAATTTATTTTGTGAATATTGGATCCAACTAATTTCTTTTCCTTTCATGTTATCCAACTCGTATTGCACGAAGAGTTTTTGTTAAAAGGGTTCCACCCCTGGGATTTGCAACTTGCCCCTCCGTACGGGATTTTCAAGTTTACACTTTAGTGGGTGCATCTGAAAATGCTTTAAGAAGAATTTCTGTAAACACTCTCATTAAAGAATCAACGGAGATCCATTAAAAAATCTTTAAAGGATCGTTGGGAAACTCGACCTGTTAATATTTACAAAATTTCCATGTCCGAAGCCCGAACGTGCTTGGCCAAGAATTTTTTTTAAGGAAATGGTCAGCGTTTCTAGTTTTTTTTTTATTATGACGCACACGAATTCCCACTGAAAAATTACTGTTCCATTTTCCGCAAAGCACTTTCTTTTCTACGAACCCAAGACGAAACGGAATACATTCCGATACAATTTAGTGATTCATCGTAAGAGCAATTACCGTAACAGACAATAAATACGTAGTTACCTACGCATCCTAGAAGTTTTCGTGATGAATAACCGAAAGAAATTAGGTCGTGCGTCCGTTTTAAATCCCAATTATCTCGGAAAAAAGTGCACTTGCCTCGTGTAACTGTTAAAAATAATTAGTAATTAATCGTAATTATTTATAAATGCCAATTTTCGCAGTAGGTCGATTTTGCCTAATTATTTTATTTACCTTATCACTTTCTTACTGTGTTTCCTAATTTACATTACCGTAGTTCGCGAACGTAATTAGACTTTGCAAATAGAGGAAGCGTAGGGATTCGGTCGTTAAATTTCAAAACTATATTAATTCAGTTAAAGAAAGCAAATTAGTGGTCGCTTGACCATTAAAAAAAATTGTTTTGCAATTTACATTTTAGTCAACAGCGAAATTTACCGCTTCATAGCGAACCTGAACAAAAGTATGTCTGCGATAACAGGAAGCGTATCGCGGAAAGCTCTGTTTAAAGCGGCGACACAAGTGCAGGCTGGCTATTCGTTTAAAACGATACACTAGTCGAGGTCGTTGCGTTCAGGTAGGAAGGCTCTGCTTGAAAGGTAGTGCGAGCTAAAGTTGCATTGCGGATCCAGGATCCTCCCATTGGTCGCTAACAACGTGGTACTGTACGGGAGTGAAATATGGGTCAGAGTCGCAACATTTAAGTGTATTAAAAGCAAATTTTATTTATCTATTCACAGGGGAGCCCGACCGGGCAGCACTTCGCAACTGGGTTCAGAGTTAGCTTCATCCTCCCCTGTTCCAGATAGCTGCCTCCAGGGAGTTGATGTCCGTCCCTGATCAAGGCGTAACAGGGACAGGCACATGTGCTTCGCAACAGAAACCTGCACGTGGACTCTGAGCCTGAAATTGACTGGTCACCCAGACGTTAATCCAGGCCCTGACAACGTAGGGAGCAATTCCTGGGGTAGGCTCGAGCCCGGCAATGCCCCCCGTCACCCCTCAACCTTCCTTTTTTACCACAAAATCAAATTTCTCAGAAAAACACTTTCTTATTAATTTTGGTGCGTAGAATCCAAAACAATTCGTACTTTTTCGATCAGACTTCTCAATCAAAAGTTATAGACTAGAAACCAATTTCGAAAGAAAATTCAAAGGGCTGTAACTTTTGAACTAGTAGCCCAATCTTGGAACTGTTTGAAATTATGGATTCTACAGGCCACATTCTATAAGAAAATTTTTTTCCGGGTCGATCTGAGACAATTTTTTTTTCGGGCCTCAAAAAAAGGCAGTTACAACCTTCCTTTTTTACCAAAAATCGACTGCACCAAAATTTCTCGGGAAAACACCTTTCTTATTAATTTTGGTGCGTAGAATCCAAAACTATTCGTATGTTTTCGATTAGACCTCTCAAAAAAAAGTTATGGACAAAAAACAAATTTCGAAAAAAAATTCAAAGGGCTGTAACTTTTGATCTAGTAGCCCAATCTTCAAACTGTTTGAAATTATGGACTCTCAATCGATCTCGATCTCAGACATTTTTTTTTGGCCTCAAAAAAAGGCAGTACTTTTAAGTTATTCAAATATTCAAGTATTTGAATACTTTTCAATGTATCTGTATCTAGTATTCGCTTGTGCTGGACGTAAAAGTATTTAGTATTCAAATACTTTTTGAAAGTATTCTGCCCAGCTCTGGCCATAATATTGTCCAATTCTAATGTACGTACAATTCCTCTCTATGAGGACCATCTGCGTCCTCTTATCTTCTGTTAACATTGGTGGAGAGTTAAAACAACTTCCTTTGCAGTTCGCACAGGCAATGGTGTAAAATATGATAGCCTTCTTGCACCCACAGCAAGTACCTTAGTTGTTAGTAGAACAACGGCAAAAAATGACTTTTAAAATTCCCTTTGGAGATGATGGAGCTGTGTTCCTTACTGGATGAAGGTATCCATCCTCATTTCCAACCCCATGGTTCTGGAGGGGGTGATTTTTCCAATAACTGCTGAACTTCGAAATTTTTCAAGCCATTTTTTGCCATTGCATATGCCATCTGCTGAGGGAGCGATGGGTTTTTTGGAAAAAATGTATAAAAGTAAAATTGTAGAAAATTTTATGAGCTTTGGATTTTTTCCTACGACCTACCATTTTCGAGATATACTGAAAACCCGCAAAATTGTACCTTCAACCCCTCCCCTTCCTCCAGCGGCATCGAAATCACTCGGAACTACATGAACTAATTATTCTACTTGACGCTTTTTGGCATAGAATTACTTGACTATTAATACAGGCAGTTCTTTTTCATTTCCACTATCTATGGGAATCTCGTAGACCGTAAGAGATAGAAAGTCGCTTAATGGGCACTGTTATTGAGAATGTTATGCTGATTAATTTTCCCATTCCATCTTTTTATCCCTTAACGCAAGGGCTAGAACCGCAAACCACTGATATTTTTTGTTGCATCTTTAATGTACTTTAATGTACAGCTAGTAGAACTTAAAATCCAACAAAAATTTGATTGAAATGGGATTACTAAATAAATTTTAAATAAAAAAAATACTATTGACTAATCTTCATACGTTTATTTTCAATGTATTATTGTAACCAATTTTTAAGTTTCGATTCAGCAACTTTTCCCTGATTAATCACTGCAGTGTATGATTCCCACCCGGATCTTCTTGGTCCTGCACGATCCACTGTAACGAAAATTTGATTAAAGTTTGAGCCTGTTACATATTTTATAGGTACCAAAAATCTAATGTTACTATGGGAAGAAATACTTTTGATTTCAATATCGTTCCATTAGCAACGTCTAAATGTTGAACGGTAACGTGACTTACCAGGAAGGTCGATCTGAAGTTCCAGGCTC